TCTGACCTGAAATTTGCCCCCCCCCCTTGTTGGTTCCCAGATTCGCCACTGAGACAGTTATGTATATAGCGCGCATACAAAACAAGCTTAGTCTTCTTCAGATACCTGATCAGCTTCAGAGCTGTGTTTAGAATGGGAGATTTGCAATTTCATGTTGGTGGCAACGGGAATCATTATACTCATGTCTTTTGAATACTATGCTGGCAATCTTGAATTCAATGGTATAATGCTTTCTGAAGAAAGTGATGTTTGTCATTCATGTTTTATCTCTCACTGAACAACATGATCTACAGGTTGACTCGAGGAACATGGGTGTATAAAATGATCTCTGTTCTCAAGTTCAAATTAATGTGACACCACAAAGAAAGATACGATGAATGGTGCAACAAAAGTATATTTACTCTTACCCTTTGCATTCATTCGACTTTGCTTCTTAAAAGAGAGCTTTGTTTGTAGTTTAACTACACTTTGCATGCAGGGTAATTTACTCTTGCTATGTGGCTTAAAGCAGTTTCAAAGACGCGACGACGTAAGACTAAAATTCCTTATTCCATATCATTTCCAAAGAGTGTGTGGTGCAAGTAAAGCAGCATGAAAATATATGTAAATATGAAGATAAAAGTATGATATCTTATCTCCTTCTTGTAACCAAATTAGTACATAACTTAGTAGATAACTTACAAAGTCACAAATATCTATTTGATTATACCTATTAAGGTGACAATTACTAATTACATCTTGCAGAACTTATCTTTTCCCCAAAATCCAAAAAAAAACATGTTTAAAAGTTTACAAACCCCAAGAATATCCTGTCCTTTATATTCTGAAGTCCCCCCTCCCTCCCTTTATCAGACAGTTGTTTATAAAATTTTATTTTGGACTTTGATTTATTATTCATCCAGTGAAACTGAACACCTCTCTAGAGCGAACTTTACTTTATAACACATCAGAAACCAACAGTAGCAACTGTTCACTTCAGGCAGGCTTTAATGTAAGTCCCTGGAACCTTCTGAAAGTATGTTTGTAGCCTAACAAGCTTGATATTACATGTGTCATGACATTAGATGGTAAATAAACAATGATAGCTGGATAAGAATAAAAATTCCAGGTGTTTTGAAGTTGGATGCTAAATAGACAATGGCAACAAGAACTTGAGAAAGTTGTATTCGTGATAATCAATATACCATTCATCAGTATATAATTAAACATACATGTCTACCATGTGGTATGTTATGTTTAATGATGAGGCACTTGCGTGTCACTGTTCTATATATTCAATATAATCAATTATTTTGGTAATACAATATCATGAAAACCTTGTCATAACATTTTTATATCCAACCATCTCCCAAACAATTATGAAAGTTAGTGCTTCACTTCTACACCCACTTGATTTTTAAAAATATGTTTGCACCCAAATGAAAAAGCATTTGCAACCACTTGAAAGTAAAAGAAAATAGGATAAATTATTGGCATATCATATATTGTGCCATTTCATACTCGAATAAGAATTCTGAGAACGTAGAAATTATATTTTGTTTTAATTTGCAATCAAAAAATCATCACATGACACATACCTTACATACTTTAATACATTAATAACGATCTCTCTTCTTATTTCTCTTTTTCAAAACTCAAAATGTCACGTTTTTTCCTATTATTTTATTGACGAAAATATTGTCAACATTGAAATTCCCGGGAATTTCCTTGGAATTTCGCTACTATCAAATTTTGCAAATTAAAACTGGAGGAATTTCGTGGCTATCATATTTCACGAATTTTCAAAAACTCGCGAAAAATACCGGCAGTACAATATATGATTTTGACATGCAACTGATGTGAAAAGGACGAGGTACATAATTTTGAAAATTAGTGCCGGTATCAAATAATCATACTGAACCAGGAAGTAAAATCACTGAATGTTAAAATAAGGTAGAACTTGAATGTCGATTGCACTTTTTTCCTATAATTCAGATTTACTTAATTTCAGATTTATAACAACATATGTGAAAATTTAGAAAGATTGACCATCTGGTTATCACATGTCGCGCCATCCTGGCAAGTATAATTGAGGTATTATTTTAAAAAGTTAATTTCTAAGACATGTGATTCAAAGGGTCAAGGGTCGATTCAAGACATACTACGGTTGTTCAATCCTGGCAGAACGCTCTTGGTTTTATGATAAACTGAACAAAAACTAGACCTACAATCAATTTATTAGTTGAAATATCAAGCACCAGGATTATACTGAGTCTTACGAAATACATCTATCCAGATTGCAGCCAACAAACAAGCTTGACAGGGTAATTAGAGAATGCAAAGGGTACTTTTGGTTTCTTTTGTTACTGTGTTTCAAATCTTCATACATTCAAAGAGCTGACCAGCACTATCTATAATATCACTGCAATGCTGGACTGATGTCTTGACAAAACTTGCAAGACATTGCAGACATTGAAGAAAATAAGTAAATCAAAAATTATAATTGTACGATTCTAATGATTTCTCATGTGAGGTTCTAACTGCGCTGAATCATAAAATCAATCCTTGAAATAGACATGGACTGGATGTAGCCTATATCTCCATGAAATAGAGGAAGACATGAGACCAAGGTCAGGGCTTCAAAGGTGCTCCCTGGGTAGTAAGAGTGTTAGGCCATTCTGTTAACACATTTAATTATAGTGTTTGCTAGAGGTGTCACTGATACCCGATTGTGTTCCGACCCGGGGAATTATGCTCTCAGAATAGAACACGGAACAAAAACTAAAAATTTCAGTTCGGTTCCAGAACAAGAAAATCTTACCCTCTCACTGCATGGCCCTAAATCGCCACAAAACAGCATTTTTCTTTCAACAGTTTGTACCATATTAAGTTCTTTGTTTTCACTCCTTCTCAATGAAGAGTTTTGAAGATCTGAGCTTTTCGCTACTAAATAGACCTAGACGATCAACTTATTTTAATCATGGGCTTGTTTTAATCTAATATGTCTATGTTCCGAAATCCGAACTGTTCCGAAATAGTTCAGTTCTAAAGCAAAATGTTCCAAACTGAACCGTTCTGATCTTTTTGTTGTTCCGTGACATATATCTCTTGTGTTTGCAGGATGGCCCAACACTCACACACTAAGACAGCACCTGTGTGCTGGGACTGAGTTGAGGTCAATGTTTTGCCACCAAAAGTTAGGGCTCTATTACTCTATGTATTTTCATAAAATGTGTTTCAAAATATACTCTATCAAATATTCATTACACATGATATTAAAACAACATAATATACTCACTGAAATCTCACATTAAAGTACCTTTTAAGCGATTTTATCGTGATCGCATCGTTTTTGTTGACTTTACTTTTGTATCTCTTTTTATGAAGAGCTCTTTCTATTACCAATTGAACCTTGAGTGCCATCTTTACATGAAACTTGAAATAATTTGTGTTCAATTAGATCCATCTTTGTAATAAGTTTTGTACTTTATAACAAAGACATGAAAAACACTGTTTTTCATGTCTCTGTTTATACAGAGCTCTATATTATAGAAAAAAATATGCATGCATATGACCAATGGTCATGATAGTGCCATGTAACACTGTTAGAAGCAGTGATATTGTATTCAGGGTCATAGACAGGAGACAGGTGAGGCACAAGCGTGAGACAAATGCCTCGCAAAAATCTTACAAAAATGTTAATTGACATTTTTAATTGAGATTAATATTTTTATTTTCAAATCAAATTGTGAAAATGAAGAATTTTGTTCCATTTGACTAAAATTTGACTTGCCTTTTTTCATCTGCTAAAAGATATGGCGAACTTTTTGAACACACGTTTCTCTTAAACCAGTCATCAAAAAATTCTGAAAATTTTACACATTTTCAATTTAATGGTCATCTTTTGAATAATAACAATATAATTGGAAATATATATATATAATTTCATCTATATTGTTTTAGAAAACACATCAAACACTTGTTTTGTTCTTTTATGTTAGTCTCAGATGAAATGAAAGGTTTATCTTGATTTTTATCTATTTTGGGGGATTTTGTTTTAATTTTTTGAATACTTTTTTAAAATCAACCAAAAATTCCTTTGTATAACTTTAATATTGAGAGGTCTATTTCAACAAGGTTTGGAAATACATTTTATTTTATTTAAGAATTGGTAGAAAGGAGCAAAAACAATTGCACTAGAAAAACAAAAATGTTAACAAAAACAGTAATAAAAAAAAGTAATAAATAATTTCCGCATTAAATTGTTGTCAATCAGTCAACATTACATAAAATACAGTGTTTTTTTACAGAATGTTTTCAATGATTGCTTTAAGAGAAAAACATTGTTGAATTCAGTTCTCCATATCGATACCACTCCTTTGCCACACCCATTTTAATTCTAGCTGTGGGCCATCAATTAGTATGTGCATGAACTTACAGAAAACTCTGTAGTACAGTACAGTGTGTGGTATCTTGGCCCTGTGGTAAAAATTAGTACCAAATGTATTCTTGTAGAATAATCATTTTGAGAACATTCAAATCTTGTTAAAGCTTTGTAATTTATCCATCAGGATAGACTTTCAAAAGTTCCTATGCTATAAATTATAGTTATAGTGATGTTTTGTTTATTCCAATTCAGACATCTTACATGTATTTGTTCCAAATAATTACCAAATTAGGGCAATTCATTATAGCTTTCCTTGTAAGATTGTTTAGAGTTTGACATCATTTTGCAAGAAATGGTGAATTATGATAAGAAATCATGAAATTGATGGATATAAACGTCTAGATTCTCTATCTAAAATTCTAAATAAAAATTAAACAAATGCATAAATTCAAAATTATATTTTCAATGATTTATATTTGACATTCCTGTATGTTCAGTATATTACAGTATGAGTATTTACATATTATACACATATGTACAGAAGTATTTACAAAATAATCCAGAACAATTTGTTACAGACACTGAATTTTAACCACCGCCCGCCAAACACCATACACAAAAATTGGAGGTTATAACAATATGTCACAACTTGTGGTGGATACATAAAAAGTGGATATTGGCAGATTCATGTTTGTTTTTACTTTGTACAAGATTTCACATGGATGGCCCTGAAGGGCCTGTATCTGTAATTCTGATTCCAAATTACTAAAGCTTATTTTTAATTCATAATGCACTATTACGCATGTAACATGCACTATCAATAGAGTTTTTCATAATTCATTTTTCTGAATATATCAAGGCTGGAAAAAATGCTTATACAAGTAAGGAATATGAATATAACTTACTTTAATTTTACAATTCTGAATGTCAAGCTGTGTGGATCTTACTCAATGAAATAATGTAAAATATCTTAAAAGGTACATAGTTTATGCCAGATCACAGGTTAACAATGCTATTTAGCAATGGAAAAATGCACTACAGGTTCAATGCTTTTTAGAGATAGCAATTTGTAGTTCCTTTGAGACCAAATTGTGTCTTCAAAATAGTCACAAATAAAGAATTCCTCACATTGAATATAATTAACTAGTAAACACACATAGCCCATTTTAGTCCATTGACTCTATTGAATATTGATTGTTCAGTATTATGTCATAACTGCAGTCTGTTGCTTAACTTCATCGACTTTTTGTAGTTCTGGTAGGAGGCCCACATCATCTAGTTGAGCATTGGTCAGGAATGTACGGTCAGGATCAGTATCAGGACCCCTGAAATATACAAGATGATATTTCAGAAACAGAAAACCATCAATGACCAGAGACACTGATTATTCCAAAAAAAACATGATATCTAAAAATGCAATCTCTGTAATCCCTGTCTATTCAGAGTGCAATTGCGATAAACCCTCATTATTTCAAAATGAAGAAAATATATGCTATGACTTCTTCAAAGTTCAATCATTATCCCTTTTCTATTACAAAGTGCATTGACTATAAACCCTGACGATTACAAGCTACATCCTGACTATTTTAAAATGTCATCACTATAGACCCTGACTAGTTTAAAATGCATATAAACCCAGACTATCTAGCAACCTTACTATCAAAACATACAAACAATCACAATAATTTTATAAATATGGTAAATGGAATATGATGTTGTAATTGTAAGGGTCTGAAAATACAACTCAGTCTTTACAGTTGCAATTGCAATTAAAGTCAGAAATTTATCCCGGGTCTTTAATTGAGTCCTCATAATGTAAACTCACCTCTCCTCCTGCATGCCCTGTGTGATGCTGAGAACCGGAACAGGACCCTGCTGTATTGGGGGTAGGGTGGGACTTGATGATGTTAGCCTCTTCTTCTCTTTGGTTGGACCAGCGTTCATCTTAGCAAACAGGTAGCGTAGAACTCGCTCTTTCTGTTCCCAGGTAAGGTCACTGATGTCTACTGAACCAGCAACATCCATTCTAATAAACATTATAAGGCATCAATGAATAGTCCATAACAATAATAGCAAGTGATAATGTACGATGATTAATAATAATATGTAGCATAGAACATATCTTTTATTCACTTATTCACTTATTTATTGTGCATTTAATTCATCAGCAGAAAATGGTGGTACTGATGTAAAATAATATAATTTTTAAGTTTAAGTTTATTCTTCCATTCAAACCATTTACATATGATACCAATGTGTTGCAGAGTGTACATTATTTTATTAATGACAGTTTTAAGAATATTAGATTGTGTTCTTGATGCCTGATACACTATACCCACATAACAGATCTCTTACAACAAATCCCTATGTTGTATTTACACAATTGTACATGAGGTCTGAATTGTTTGGTTATTTTAGGATGTGATTAATATTGAATACATCAATAAGAATGCAGCAAGTTGCAATTCTTTCATTACATTTATGTGTGTTGTCAGGTGGTCACTTACTTAAGTTGCAATAAAATATCCTCACTGATAAAAACAAAGAAAACAAGTAGATTAATATCAACTTTTACTCAAAGACAATGTCTTCTAACGAGACTAGAGTAATGGTAAGGTGAATGACTGAGTTTAGCAAATCACTAAGGGAGATTTTTTTCATGCTGGTATTTTATTGAAAGTGTTTTCAAGATTTATAATGATGTTTCCTGAAAAAGCTGGAGACTATGTGTATTATGATTGATGAATCTAAAATGAAACGATCATGCTGGTCCGGAATAGGGCTTTAGGTGACATTCTAGTGCAAAGATTGTGACTAGTTCCTTATTAAGTGTACATGTATTACGAAGGAGTGTGATAACATGCAGAATTTTAATCTGCTCCGCATGCACATGCAAAACATTATTAATGTAATTCATTTTACAAAGTACTTCATATTCAGCCAATCTTGGCCAACAGTTTTCACTGCAAAAGTTGCATTCATTTTTACTTTTCAAAATTATGTCCATAATCAAATTTATTTATTCCATTAGTGAGCATCATTGATACAAATAGTGCAGCTTCCAATTAAATGAAAATAAAATACTTACAGTTTTTCAGCTGCACTGAGGTCATTAAAGACATTGTTAGTGCTGGTGTCTGATTTTGTGAATGTCCTCACTTTAGGATAGGCTCCCTTACCCATGTATGCATCTGACATCTTCTTGTGATATGCTAGCTCAGCAGCTTTTCTGTACTGAATTCTGAAATGGAAAAGCATTTACATAGTTATTGAATAACAAAATGAATGACAAAGGATTCTGTTGCTGAGACTCTCTTCTTAAAAGGCATCATCACAATGATGATATCCTATACAGCTTATGTTGCAGTATCCTCTAAAGTATGCATTATGCACCAATAAAGATGGAGGGGAAAACTTCATGCAAAACTGGGTTTTCATTTGAATAAGATGTTTTACTTACTGATTAGCAGCAATCTCCAGTTTGACCTGCTCCAAAGCATCAATAAAGAACCTCTCAAGCTCTGTACGCTGATCTAATATTGTCTTTGCTAACTTTTTCACTTTGTTCATTTCTTTAGTTTTTAAATCCACTATTCTCTGTAGTTTTGATAGTTCTATTTTACTTGATTCATTCTCTATTTTGGCACTTTCAATAAGGGACCCTCGGTCCACTTCAAATTCATTCACTACATGACTTAAGGCTTTTTCTAATGTCTCTACCTTTTCTTGTAACTGAAAAAAAAGATTGTACATTTTGTCAATTATATTCATAAATACTGCATGTAATTCACTCTTATTCATTGACTTAGGTCTTCTTTTTGGTGTATGCCATTGTCAATGCATCATTCATAAAAATGGTAAAATATTCTATGGTAAAATGTCCGATTTTTATATGGATATGCTTGAAAAAATGGAAATAAGAGGAAATGGGTAACCATATCTTTACTTTACAGCACTGGGAATCAGGAATTTCAAAAAGAATGAAGTTATATGACAAAAGTTAAAGCAAAGTTTAACTAAATATGAATTGAATTGAATACGCCTGTAAGTGGAACACCTACTAAGTGGCACACTTTTTAGAGGAACCAAAGATGTTCCAATTAGACATGTTTTACTGTACTTACAAGTTTTAAATCTTGTTTTTGTTTCTTAGTTTGTGCAACTTTTTCTTGCACCATCATTTCATTTAACTCTTTGTCTCCCAGCAGTGTCTGGTTCTCTTCTTCCAGTCTCTTCTTGTCCTTCTTTAGTTTGGTTGCCTCAGCAATGTGGAAGTTAAGGGCCTCTGTCACGCGTACATTCTCCTTGTAAACAGACCTGGTTGTTTCATCGAGGTTTCTGCAATGTAATATGGATGTTTCAGTAGACATACAAGAAAGAGTAATGCTTCTATAATTAAAATATGAGTATTGAAAAAGATTTAAACATGCGAATGTCTTCACCTGCCATTTGTTACGGATGCCGGATGCCAACTACCGTCACAAAACAAAGTTGGAGACCATAAAACACTGTCGCTAATTTTAGTGGTAAATTATATGCATTTAAAAGAAATAGTTTTGAATCTTCATAAAAGAATTTAAGCCCTGGACTCAATGAATTGAGCATGATATATCTGCAAAAAAGAGATTTTGAATAAGGACAGAAGCTTAAAAGGCTTACAAGACACAGGTACATTAAATTACCCACATTTCATTGAGTTTGTGCTTAATTTGTTGACCATATTATCAGTATTCTGATTGGGTAGGCCTTGATCAAAGGATTATCTCTGACGCAAAGTATGTATTGAAAAGGTCAGGTGGGTTCTAAATATTGCCCATGTATAATAAGGCTAACTTATAGTATGAACTTACACTATAGCTTCAGTATGGGCCCTCTCTGCTAACTCAGCTATTTTCTGACTGGCCTCTTGTTGTAGTCTCATCTGAAGCAAGAAACAGGGACACATAACATATGGCATTAAAATAAAATAAAAGGGGCAACAAAGACTAGGGAAAAATTGAACATTTCAACACAAGAGAAAATTTGATCAGATATCTCCTTAATGTAGCCCACAATGTTGCTACACGCCTATATTCCTCAATTATCTATTTCCCTACATTGTAAAAAAGGTGTAAGTTGAGGGGTTTGATGCAAAATTCACAATGTAACAACACTGTTGTGAGAATATTTGCTTTGTATCCAGTATGGCACCTGATTTCAAAACAATTTTTACTACTGTACAAAATAATTGGAGAACTATCCAATGATTGCCTGGCTGAACTATGTACCTCAAATACACCATGTTTCTATGGCTGACTAAGTGATGTTACAGTGAACACCTGACATCCACTGCATTAAAATTACAGTGAAACATGTTAAGTGGAATAACTCTAGAAGAGAAGCACCTCTGTTAGTGGAACACTTCAGATTCCCAAGACCAACTGACTTTATGTTAAATGAACCCCTTAAAGTGGAATACCTCCAAAATGGTACACTTTTTAGAGGTACCAAAGGTGCTCCACTTAGACAGGTTTTACTATACATGTACCTTTTCTTCAAAGAACTTTTGTTCCATCCTCTGCAGAGTTTCCTTGTGGTCCTTATTGGCCAGGAACATGGATTCCTTGATCTAAACATTTGAAAAAATATGTAACATTATGAATGATATTAAAGATTATAGCAGCATTTTAAACATGAACAATTCTTTAATTATTTTTTTTTCAGGTAACTATAAAAAATACATTTCGTGATCTCCTATCCATTGTCAGTTGAGAAAAAAAATAAAATTAAAGTACCTATTTGGAAACTGAAAATCCAATTGCGTCCAGTTCAGATTTGAAAGATCATAAAAATAGGTCACAGAATTTTGATAAATACTAATAGTAACAAGTTCTATGAGTAAAAAATATATATTTTCCAATTTTTCTTATAGAGATGAAATGTCAAAAATACCAAAAACGCTCCCATTTTTGAGAAACTATTTTTATTGTTTTGTTGTTTCATGCTTGCAATGTAACTAAAACTAAAATATGTGTGCGGTAAAATGTGACTGAATTCTAATAACATCTATGTGACATACAACAATTTGCAATTTGTGCACAATGTGATGTGGTAATGTACTATAACGTAGTGTAGTGATCCATTGATTTCTCCTGAAAATACTCTGGGATGTTAATCCCAGATTTTTTTAAGCTTGATTTCTGAACCATAGGAATCAATAAAACATGTGCATTGTGCAAACATTGTTAAGTTTATATCATGTATATTATATTATATTTTCCAGTATCAACAATTCTTAATCTTCAAATGTTAAATATTACATTTCAACTCGCTGAATATTACATTTCAACTCATGCATTTCAATACTTGGATTTAATATGCATTGAAATCTGAGACATGAAAGATCATTATATTAACTTTATTTTGAACTCAAAACACAATGCAATATTTGTCTTTCAAATGTAACTATATTTTAATATTCTCAATTAATTGTATTATTAAGCAATATGCTACTATATTCTGTAAAATTTATGCCTGGTACATTTATTTGGGGCTTTTACATTCTAGACATGCCTGGTAAAGGTACAATAACTCCTGATTTTCAAAATTGTGAGAAACACTCTATAATTTGAAAATATGTTGGTGGTGGCTATAACATGCTTATATTTCTAACTAGCACTACCTGGTATTAGGAGGGGGTTTCTACAAGGACATTTCAAAATAATTCAATAATTCATGAATAAATTATATTTTTTTGATGTTATTGATTTTTATATTTATAAATATAGCATTCTCTGTAATATGGTTACAATTACATGTACTGCAAAGGTACATACATGTAGGTTAATTGAATCTAAATTAATCATATATATGTATTAATCAAATCAAAAAATGGTCTTCCATACCTCATCTAATTCTTTCTGCATTGCACCTCTCTTTTTCCTAAATTCTTTAACGAGCTTTAGCTCACTTTGCATGAGTTGCACCTCATTTGTTCTCTGAGCGAGTCTTTCCTCCAGATCATTAATTTGTTCGCTGAGATCATCGATCTGAAATATTAAGATATTCACTTCAATATCTGAGTTTACATACAATTAAATATTTTATATGCAATATATACTATCTTCAACATTTCTCAATAAGGAAATCTGATACTTATTTAGAGATATTTATCATATTCTTTGGAACTAGCTACTGATTCAATATTTTAAAATGATTAACAATTTTCTAGTAAGATAATTTGATTTGATATTATGATTTTCTTAACTAAGGATCATACAGTACATGATTTTATGAGGATTACAAAATATACAGTATAATAAAAAAAATTCCCAAACTCCTAAATTGTTCTGAATCACTTCTTCATTTGAAATATGGCTTTTTCATTTGACTTGATTTAATTTACTTCATCAATCATACATTATCCGTATAAAGGTAGTAGACTTTACAATTCTTGTAAAATATCGGAGTCCACTTACAATTTGTTCTTTTTCTTTCCGATGTTCTTTTTTCAGTTTTTTAATATCTTCTACAAGTCTCTCCAGCTAAAAATAATAAATCATCATAATCAACTATTTACATTTACATCAAATGCATATCTGTACAGAATCAAACACATTTGAACTCTAATAAACTTTACATTGTATTTATTTAATAATTGTTCTGATTGGGTATTATGGTAAACCAAAGGCAACTATGATGCAATATGATGCATTATGTTTCATTGAACTCTTGTATTTTTTTCTGGTCAGCAATTAATAAGTTTATAGAAGGATTCTTGATTAGGAAAATCTGGTGTCATTTATTATTTCACTGCCATATCACTCCAAAAAGGCTAAAAGTATGACCAAAGGAAACCACTACCATTGAATCTTTGTCCTGGTCCTGCCTCTTAAGGAATGTGACTACATCTATTGTGTCCCTCTCTGTTTGTTTCATAGAGATTTCCAGTGATTCATTCTCCACCATCAATTTCTTGGCACTCTCCCTAAAAATCATCATAGTTATACACTTTAAAGAATTACAGTACCTTTTTTACGTGGTCAAAGTGCATCTGAGAATTGATAAATACATATGTACAGGGAATATCAAAATTATTATTTTTTAACATAAAGCCTTGTGCAAATAACTCTTTACTTACTTGTATTCTTGACGAGATGTTTCCATCATATCTAGCCTGGCTTCCCACAATCGTGAGTTTGCTTTCGCCATGGCGATTTTATTTTCTCCCTTTGCGGCCTTTCCTTTCTTGCCCTTCTTCCTGAAATAACATTCTCAAAATGAGAAAATGGCCTTGCAGACACATGCAATTTTACATGACTCATGGCAAAATAAAACACAGGAATTATGATTAGTGTAGGAGAACTGAGAACTGGTTTAATCTCATCTAGACCACTGTGACAGGTGTAAAAATTAAATCTGGAGTGTAATAGATCAATAACAATAAGTGTAATAACACGCTTTCATCTAAAATTAAAATATTTTTTTTCTGAATGTTACCATTATGCATAATCTGGAATAAAAAATCTCACTTATTTCCAAAATAGCCTAGCAGACAGAGATTGAAATGCAAGTATTTGACTATTCAACCTTAAAATATGATATCCGCGCACATGAGCTAGCATTATGTGTGAAGATCAATTATTATATTATATGGCCAAAGTGGCTATAGAATATTATAAGATAGGCCTCGGCCTTGACAGTAGTCATATAAATCCGACCGTTGTATGCTGTTCTTCGATATTCCTTGTTCTTATTTGGATATTTATTTTTTATCATTTTCTTTGCATACACGGTCGTAGATATTATATGGAACAAATTGCGGTAAACGCTTTTCTGGCCTGTCTTGGTAACCATAGTTACCATACTAACCAAAGTCACACAAATTATCACGTAATTATTTAGCTCCAACATCAAAGTGTTAAATCTTACCTTAGACATGTAAAACGCTTGATAATTGACGAAATATAATAAATTGAATTATTATCCCAACGCCCCAACGAACGAAGTTTGGTCTTGTGAAGCCCTCCGTCCGTCAGTCCGTCAGTCAGTCCGTCCGTCCGTCCGGAAGATAACTCAAATACGAGTTGACGGATTTTCTTCATATTTAATGGAAAGATGTATATTGGTGAATAGTTGTACGCAAAAAAAATTTTTTCAAGATGGCTGCCGCTTTAAAAATGACGGGACTTTTTCGCAAAAACCATAAATTTTTCATTCTAAACCAAAGTAATTAATATTATTGTTTGAAATTTTGGTAGTATATTCGCAACATCTATCTATTTCACATATATTCCGTGTTTTACATCCTGACCCCCAGGGGCTGTGTATGGGGGTCAGGAAAACAGTAATTTTCGCTAATTTTTAGATCTTTCTGAAGTATAGCTTTATTATACTCAAATGAAAGGCAATTAAGAGTAGATTGTAGATATTGTATCTTTTTTCTGATTCGAGCCTCGTAAAATTCAAAATGGCCGTCTAATGTACGATTTCGCAATAATTTTTCGATCCCTTCAAAGTATGGCTATATTATACTCAAATTGAAGGAATTTTGGAGTAGATTACAATTATGGTATTATTCTTCAGATTTGTACCTCAGAAAATTCAAAATGGCTGCTTTGCAGGAATTCGCAATTCTAAAATCTAAATTTTTCAATTTTAACCAAAGTAATGAGTATAATTGATTGGAATTTAGTAATTGATATTTTGTTCGTTGGGATTTGCTACTCCGCGGAGTTGCCATTGTCTAGTATTTTCATTATCGCCCGCCATGTTGCTGAATGTTGTTTCCGGTAGTCTAAATGTATAACATGTATCGAAACGGAATCATAATTATTTATTACACAGAGATCGATTCCAAAGCCGTTCTCTGCCACTTATTACTTTTCTCATTTTGAAACAATAACTTTTCCAAATAACTTCCCTTCTCAACGACACTGCTTCCCTTTCAACTGAATATTCGTGTAACAAAAACTTATGATTTCGTTTGATACAGTTTTACATCTAGACTATCAGATTAACCCGGAAGTGACCTTGGTGGCAAAGTGAGAAAATTTTAAAATTTAGCAGCGTGCTTATATTTCTTCAATTACCAAGCATTTAACGTGCCTAAGGTAAGATTAAATACTTTAAAGTTGAAGCAAAGAAATTAATTTATCATTTGTGTGAATTTGGTGGGGTATACATGCCAGGAAAGCAATTCCCGCAATATAGAAGCGCTAGTGTTTATGACCCTCGTATGCAAGAAAATAAGAAAAATAAATATCCAAATCAGAAAAAAGTAACAACAAATAACATCATACGAGGGTCAGATTTATATGACTACCTTGACAGTGACACTGACAGAGATGGTAAATTGATGATCCTCGGAAATATTTTACATTTGAGTGTAAACCACAAAATTATACTTACCCTTTCTTTCCCTTTCCCTTCTTACCCTTCTTTGGCATCTTGAAGATTTATTGGAATAATCAATCAAGAAATAAAATACTGCACTTGACAGATATATACGAAAATGTAAGATTTATTTTGATATTTCCAAAATTTCAAATCCAAGATGGTGGCCGCTGTAATCACATTTGATCACTATAGCAACATGAAGTCTCATCACCAATTTAGATGCATTTAATTCTTCCTCAGTTATTTTATACATTGTATGAGTATGTTCTATATATTCATCTACATATTGGAGCCTTTACTTTTACTCAAATAGTATCCAAAGTGTTCAATTTTGAGAAGTAGTGAGGACGATATTTAAATCACGTGACTTGCTCGAGACTAGACTCTTTAAATTGAAGGAGAGAAAATTTCCAAAAATTAAAAGTAAAAATTTGGATTTATTTCATTGTTTTCTCGAAAAGTACATACTTTTAGGAGGTAAGTGTCAGTATAAAATACGTCAAGGCTTGAAGTGGATTCAAAGATTGTATATACGTAACTCTGAAATGTTACATTTCATGAGAAATGTATCACAGAATTTCTGCAACAATGTCATTCATTGTTGTTCAACTTGTTCATGTGTTATGATGGTGTTGACCCTGTTCATAAAATTGATAATTGATATTATTAATTCATTATTAGTCTACTGGTCTACTGTCTATTTCAATATTTTCACTTTCATCGTCAAATTATAAAAGTAAGAATTAGCTAAAGAATGCGACTGTTACCTGCCAGGATTTATTAGTCTAAACACTCACGATTGTATCCGTATCAGATTTCTTTTCTCAACCATGAAGCGTATGCATGATGTCAAAGAGAAATTAATTTAGTCTGGGTGTCAAAACTGATCGCCTCCTCGTTTCAGAAGTTTGGATACCAAAAATAACACGACTGTGAAATTTGATTCTTGGTTTGTTGATTTTATATTTCATAGGTCGGTGATTCTTTGATATCTCATAAGAATATGTCCTGGCAGCTGGCACATACTCATACAGAGTTAGCACAATATCACTGTGACGAAGTCATAGCTGACCTCGTTGGTCAGTCTACTTATTTCACTTCACATCAGTTGATGTCATAATGATCTTTTTCTGTTACTCATGTTTATAATTATTGCGTTATTTTGATTAGTTTATATTTGTATTATAAACAGTTGTTTTAGTGATCTTTAAACCCAGTGTGATATTTCACAATATCAACAGTTTAATTTCCTATGTTTTATCATCATATTAGAGCAGTTTTTAGGCATGAACTATATCTAGAGCCAATCAAACGAAAGGATTATTCTTGAGATATGAGTGGCAGAAATGATATATGAAGTCAACTGATGGGAAATTTTGCAATGTTTAGTTAAGATGTTTATAAGTTTGGATAGTTTTTGGCATCATCTTGAAGACTGCAAATTTCTGATAAACAAAGTAAAAAGCTATTAAACCTAACGACCTGGAGTACAACTGACCAAAACATTAATACTGCTGTATATACTTTGCAAATGTTTATACCTTTATTATCTACATCACATTTTACGAATAATTGTATACTTTTTAGGGTGAAAATTGACTTATAAATATGTGTATCAGACATAAATTAGATAATGAACTAAATTAGATAATTAGATTAAACATCCAGAGTTCATGAGACAAGGCTCAGAGGTTTTGTCTAGACATTCCTTTCCCACCAAATTCTGCCAAATTCTCAAACTTTCGGTAAACATTCAAGATTCGTGGGCAGAAAATCATCACTATTCCTTATTGACTTTCTATAAAATTAAACATTCATTTTTCGGCCAATTTTAGTTAATGAGATTTCTTCATATTTTATTGGATAAGACCTCTTATTTCGGCTCTGCCCACTTCAAAATTAGGATATAAAAGAGGCATTTTTGGCATTGAAACCTCAGAACCTCGTTGCGTGAACTCGGGACTAACCAAAAACTGTAAGTAACTGATTGAAATGATATTTTTGGACTTTAACTTTTCTTTAATAAATTTATTTTTTAAACTATATTTGTTTTCATGTTTTGTAAAAGATAGAGAGACTCAACTTCGCCACATTATCATCATCAAATTTAGGAGAATTGGAGGTTTTCTATCCTGTAAATGTTCTTCCATCTGTTCTATTTTTATTCTTACCTGTAGGTGTTTCCAGATCTATATTCTATTTTTAGGGGTTGAAATTCCCCATTCTAATTTGTATGATGTCTACCTGATAAAGGCTTCTGTTGATTTGGTTTTGCTGTGAAATCCAGCAGTTCAGAGTTACAATTAAGTTGTACAATTGAGACACATTAAATGTTGATTTAATTGTATGATTTGTGTTTGCAGCCAAAAGAATGGATGAATCAAACAAGGAAGCACCAGGAGAACCACACCTGATGGAGAACCCAATGACAACACAAAATGATGTTGCGATTACAGAGGAGAATAAAAAAGAGAGTGAGACTCATAATGCTCATGTACCAAATCAGATAAATATGTGTTCACCTGCTTTAGATGAAGCACCAATAGATTTATCAAATAAAACAGAAAGTGAGACAGTAAGCGACAAAGTTGTGGGAGATATCTCAAAAGAAGTTGCTACCATTGCTAAACCAGAGGAACAAGCAAAAGAGAATATACCTAACTCTCCCTTGAGTACTACACCTACTCTAAACAGTCCAGGTGACTCCAAAGATGTTACAAGTATTGCCGAAGCTGCACCAACCTCTTCATCTAATGATCTAACTACAGTAACTGAAGATCAAACAGATATAACCAAGTCAAACACATGCAATGACATTACAACCACAGAAAGTGATACTGACAATCCTGATCTTCAACAGAATGTAATAGATCATAGTCCGGCAAAGGCTCAAGAAGTCAAACAAGATCATATCAATGAAAAAAATGATGATGTTACATCTACTGATGTTAACTCTGTTGAAGATGTCGAAACCCCTTCAGCACTTAAAACATGTTCCAGTGTTGATGCTCCTTCTGGTTCTGAAACTCCCTCTGATGTTGAGACTCCTTCAGTGATTGAAAGCCAGGCAAGCTCTATTGAATCTGATATAGCTGATGAACTATCGAATAAAGACAGCAATGCAGCTTCAATTGATGAAAAATCGAGTGATATTGGAAATGTGACACCAAACCGTAATGTAGATTACACACTAAACAAAGGTCATTCTATTGAAATTCTTGGTACACCTGTCCATGTCCCAGCAGAATCCAACTCTGAGTCTTCTCAGGACTCATTTGCAGACATGCCGTTTAATTCACAACCAACTAGTATAGGAAGCCAATCACAAGCGAAATCACCTTCAAATTATAGTGATGTATTTAAGAAGTTCTTAGAAAGCAATCAAGCAAATGATGAAAGTGATAGTCAGGATGCAGATTTGGTTCAAGGATCAGAAGACACAACTGCAACTGATGATGTGAAACATGACGCAGTAAAGGCAGATGAAACATTACAGGATGATACTGTGAAAAATGAGGCTGCCACACCAGAAGATGCTGCAGTTAAAGAGGTTGGTATTGCAATTAATCATTAATAACTTATACCTGTTTTAACCAGACATGGTACATTCAATAAATTTCCTTACGTATCCCATTGGTTTAAAAGGATTAAAGCTCAAACACCTATCTGATAGTTATGGAACAAATTCAATGCATCAAATTCAATCAAATTCACAGATGAATACAATATATTCAGCAACATGCATAATGGGCTTCTAAATATGATTAAACATACATTTTCAAGGACAAAGTGCTGCCTTTTGTACTGAGACCTGGACAAAATAAAATTGTGCATTTCCATTTCAGATGTAAATTTTCCTTAAGAGCATACAGTAATGTAGCATTTACTATAGTACCTGTAAGTCATTTTAAAAGTGGTATTGACGTACACATGTATGCTTGTTTAGTACAAGTTCAGTTCATGATAGTAACATTTGAAGGTCACAACAATCAATATAGTCTTATATCACAAGTTTTAATGCCACCCCCCCCCCTTAAATATGAATTCTGTTTTGACTTGATTAAAACAGGACAAAGACCCATGACATGTCAGTTAACAGAGCAAGGCAAAACAGTTCAAAGATAATAAAATCTGGAATACCAAATAAAACTACACCATCTTAATTTTTATCCTCTAAATTGCAGACATCAGATGTGGTTGATGAGAAAACAGAAACAGATAAACCTGACACTAAGGAAAAGAAGAAAGCTCCTAAGAAGAAAAGACGTGGAATCACTATTCATGATGATGATGGTGGAATTGGGTATGGACTCTATCATAAAGTTGAAGTCCACATTGTAAATTTAAAGGTCTAAATGATATAGGAATGAAATTTAATGAAAATTTGAACAAAGTTTACCTAATAAGTAGATGAATAACCTTTAGTGGATAAAGCCAAATCATTTTTTACATTTTAATGGAGCCATCTAGTCTTCATAGTTAACTAGTGGATAGTGGCTCAATGTATTACTCTGTTCAAACATTGATTTATCTTTGCTGTTTATATGTGGTAAAATATTTTTGTTGTTGAAGGCGAGATGTTGGTGCAGTTGATTTGTTTGACTACCAATGGCCTCAAGATGACAAACATGCAGAGCAGTTTGTACTTCAGGAACAAGTCAGCAACTTTCTAGGCATTCTTTCCTTCAAACGCAAATATCCAGGTATATATTTATATTCCAATGCTGTTCAAAGTTTAATACACAGTGGAACCTGCACATCCAGATACCTTTCTAATCCACACCTTTTAACCTCTTGAATCCCAGACTCTAAAATTGGTTGAAACCAGAGAATTTTTCATTTTTGCCACCTTTTGACATTTTACTATATACATGTACGTATACAATTTTAGATGCTCAACTTAGTGGAATTAGTCAGCAGAGATCATGTCTACACATTTTAAAACAATTTTTGTGTAAATTGGTCGAAAACTGTTCAAATAAGAGCAATTTTAGTGAAAAAAATTGTGACGGATTTTCTCGTCACTCTGGGTTTCAAGGTCATTTCTGAGATGACGAGAAATCTCGTCACTCCAGGTAGTCAAGAGGTTAATGTGAACACTTTTTCTTGGTCCCAAATTTCTTATCTCCCATTGACTCACATATTCATAAAACCTTCAAATGTGAATATGTACCTGCTAATCTGAACAGTTTTGCTTGGTCCCAGAGGTGTTCAGATTGTTTTACTATACAATGATTATTCGCCTGGTTCCCTAAAACTGAATGTATCTGTCTCATCTGAAAAACTGAATATAAGATATTGTTGGTTTTAGAGTTAACCAGACGTCCAGTAGAAATGCACGAGCGTGACTTCCTGAAAGAGCGAGGAATTGTGACTGAGATGCAATGTGACCTTGGACTCACTGCCATCAAACTAGATGACGTCTGTGACCTCATGCATAAAGACTACCCAGAAAAATATAGTGTAAGTTCAAAAGGGACCACAATATATTGTCTGGAAAGGATAAGGATCGTATCAGGGTGTCACAGGTTTTTGCCCTGATGCACCACATTGAAATGTCAAACAAAAAATTAAAGCTAGCAAATTAACTTTTTGTTTCTCCATGTATTCCAATTTTGCTTCATTTTATGGAATCAGTTGATCAATATCACTGTTCCACAACTGGATGACTCTAACTGCAGTTAGCTTCATTCAAGATGGTTGCTGAGATTCTTTCGTTTACGATAAACCTCCGATTTCAGCTAAACTAAGTTGAATCTTGATTCCAAAAGTTTCGCCATGCAAATTAATAAAACTATGATTGTATTCAACCACAAATGAATGCTCTAACACCCATAATATTAGAGAATTTTGAAGAAAACGACTTCACTTAGAATGACTCTAACTGAAGTTGATGATCTACGCCATCATGACGTCATCATCAACTTCAGTTAGAGTCATTCTAAGTGAATCCGTTTTCTTTAAAATTCTCCAATATCGCGGTTGTTTAAGCATTTATTTGTGGTTATTTACCATCGTAGCTTTATTAATTTGCATGGCGAAACATTTGGAATCCAGATTCAACTTATTTTAGCTGAAATGGGAGGTTTATCGAAAACGAAATGATCTCGGCAACCATCTTGAATGAAGCTAACTGCAGTTAGAGTCATCCAGTTGTGGAACAGTGAATATGAAAACTACAGAAATTACAATTGTCAAATTGACTTAGTAACACTGGTAATTGTAAATGTTATTACTTGTATTGCATTAAGCCCATAGACCCCCTCCCGCTGTCTACCTCTCCTTTTCATGTAGGGGATGTTTGAGAAGGGGGGGGGGGGGGGCAAAGGGCTTACCAAGACAAATAACATTAAAAGCTGTCAAAATATATTTTAACTATGATCATGAACCTGTGTAAAGTATCACAGTTATTTAAAGTTCAAGTACATTTCTCAATGGGGTACAAAATGAATTCCATCTTTTTAGATTTAAAGATGGCATAAATTGGTTAAATATTAAATTATCATAATTTTTCATGATAAAAACGAGATTTTGATAAAATCACTGTGTGTCCATATCTAAAGCACCAAATGGTATCTTTACCTTTGAAGCAGCTGTATGTTGATCCATTCATTGTAGGAATTTGCAATGATTCTGGCTGACAGGGAGAAGAGACGTGTTCAGGAGAAACAGAAAGAATATAAGATGGCACGATTAGACAAAAACAAGATGGAGTCATACATGAAGAAAGCAGTGAAATCGGCAGCAGACTTTAATGCAAGGTTGATGAGGGAGAGAAGAGAGGAAAGGAGGGCTTACTTTGATTTACAGACTCAGGTATGGTATCTGTTTATGAAATGGAGTTATATTAGGTCAAGACCCATACTTAAAGGTCACAGTGAGGAATTTTTATAGGTGTTATTAGGGGGGAAAGATATAACTGATGATAACAATGGGCAGGTGAATGATTTTTCATATTTTCATCCTATAAGATAAAATGAACAATTTTAGCGAAAATGAAAATAAAAAGAGAATAAAGATTTGTTTTATTGAAAATTTAAAAGTAAAATAAAGATGTAAAGAAATTCTGCTGACAAAATTTTGTTACTTAATTAGGTTAGGTGTAAATAGAATGATGCTAAATGTTCCAGAATATTCATTCTATAAGCAGTAACTTCTATATACTATTCTACATTCAGTGTATACAGTGGTCGACAGGAAAGGTCAAGCGTGCTCCTCCAGAGTTCACCAAAGTAGGTGCTTACCCAGTGGCCTTGCTGCAAGGACAATATACAGATGAATATCGCAAGTAAGTCCACTCTGTTCAGATTTACCTTCTTGGAAAAAGTTCGATATATAATCTTACTGCAACATCACATTTTGTGCTAACTAATGAGCAAAATTACAGACTGAACTGAGCTTAGTGAGTACAAAGTGAATTGAGTGAGTGAGTACAAAGTGAATTGAGCTTAGTGAGTACAAAGTGAATTGAGCTTAGTGAGTACAAAGTGAATTGAGCTTAGTGAGTACAAAGTGAATTGAGCTTAGTGAGTACAAAGTGAATTGAGTAAGTACAAAATAAATTGAGCTGTTATTTTATGAGGCTAAGAAATGACACTGACATGATTTAATGATTGTTGCCTTTTGTATAATTCTAATAGCTGCCCCATTATGTATTGCTAGTGTTGACTCCTTGTCAGTTTTTGGCTCACATGGTGAACCTTTGGAACTGATCACTTGATCATCCGTCCATCTGTCCTTTCTTTTGTATGTCAGTAATTTTCAGGCAAATAAAAATTGGCTGTTATCTAAAGTATTGTTCATTTATAGAATTCTCATATCAGATAATCCATTTTGCAATTGATGGTGAGAAATATCAATGTCAGTTTTAGCTTTTCAGGTTTAATATGGTCGTCTCTCGGTCTTAGCAAATTCAATTTTGTAAAGATTTGAACATGTTTTATTTTTAGCCAAACTTTTGCAATGTTACCCAATGATTTCATGATGAGCTAATTCTATTGATCATATTTTTTATATTATATGTCATTTGTTCCTGTAGGTACACCCCAGATGAACTGAAATATTTCCCCATCAACACAAGTACATATGGGGCACCCAAGAGGCTGGACAATGTGTTCACAGAGGGAGAAGGCATCATGTCGGACACTGAGAGTCAGACATCGGTAAGTTACACACTGAGATGTTAATCTTAGCATATATACTGCATGAACTCTTCTCAGAATGGTTGATACTGGCTTTAGAATTCATAATTTCTGTGAAAAGTGTTCTTTGAGAAACCAATTAAATCATGCATGGCTAGATAGATGCATGTGTTAAGAAATAACATATTCAGTTCACATACTTGATTTAGATAATTAATAATCGTAAACTAGATAAATAAAATTAAGTATCATTTCCTAATTTTACTTCTATAATGTATTGGTCATCCTCCAAACATAGGCCTCCAGATCTCATAACTCCTTCTTCGAGGCCTGTGTCCGAAGGATGTGACGTGTATTGGTCTAAGGTTAATTTTTACAAAAAATTGTTTTTTGCTTCCAAAAGGAGACAAAGGCCACCTTCAATAGGATAGAGGAAATAATAAGACAGGTTTGCATAATAGCCAGAGGCCTACCTAAGGTCTGACTGGTCTTTCCCAGGTTTCTTTTGATATGGACCAGCTGATCTTTATTATTAGATATACTGGGTGTTTCTTACAAAAGTAAAATGACTTCTGATGCACTCTGTTTGAAATTAACATTGTAAGGGATCCATAATGTTATCTTGATCACCTGGTCCTTAGAGTGATCTTGATCAGCTGGTCCATAGAGTGATCTTGATCACCTGGTCCTTAGAGTGATCTTGATCAGCTGGTCCATAGAGTGATCTTGATCAGCTGGTCCATAGCCGTTCATTCTCAAATCCTGAGGTTAAGCACTTTAACTCTTATCTCCACTCATTTTACAAGACATTCCTGCAAACTATACAGTGCTCTATGACGCGGTATCACCTGCACCAGAACTCAGTCCTAACTTAATTTGGATATAAACCTGGTTTTGAATCCTTGTAATTTAAGCCAGGTAAATTTCATATTTGCGCATTTAAGCGTGTGACAAACAAATTGGTTAAGTGGCGAATAAAATGTGTTGTTCTGGCGGCGATATCACGTCATAGTTCTCACCAAGGCACCATGCTTCACATGTGTCTGGCCTAGTCTTATAAACCGATGTTGTTGCTGTATTGCTTTTCACACACTATTTTGTTATTCTAATCTTTATCATGCTTTATTTTAGGTTTGCCTAATATATGTTGTTTATGCCTCAGTCACATTTGAACTATGGCAACGGCGGTCGTAGCTTCCCAAAACTGAGAGAAATAATGCAGCGTAAAATATAGGGATAAGCAGTATGATGTAGATTTTCTATATTGATTTTGTGAAGCTACAGCAGCCGTTCGGCACAATGTGACTGAGGCTTTGTGCTTCATTGTGTGATAATGATATAATGTTGTCTATTTATTAAACCACATACCCTGTGGCCTAGTTGAAGGAGAATTATAAAGACCTACATGTTCATGCAAGTCACCTGATCTACCAGAATGATATTCCTCTGAGACTTAATCACATGACTCTTGCTCAAAATATTTTTTATTGCAAGTACATGTTTTATTGGTTACAGGTTTTATTGCAAGTACATGTACACATAGAGTCTTACAATTCTTAAAAGTATTATACATAGAAATGTTGTCCTCTGAGATTCTATTTTACCTTTATTCTGTCTATATCTTCTTAAAGAAAATTCAAAACCTATTTTAGAATCGCTCCCTGGTCATGCTAGTCTGTGTCTTTCCTGTGCTTTCTCTTTGTTGTCATTTCTATAAAATTTGGACATTTATCCTTTTGACATAATTCCTAGCTGATTTTCACCGTATTTCTATTGTGAAAATTATTATATGGGGTGTCTCTTTACAATTAAAATACAAGGTCTGTGTATATTGTAAGGTTTCACTGTAATTGTTATATTAAAAACAATAGGAATAACTAAAGGCCTATGCCTTATTATGTAGATATTGAATTATAATTTCATTATATCATCCATATACCATTTTATAACATTAAGGGGCAGTTTCAGGAGAGGAGGCACATTCACATGCTAAACTTCCTTTTTACAAATTTGCAATTAACTGACTTTAATACCATTATGTAAATCTGAACTATGAATCTAGGTGGTTAGTCTTGATTTTGAATCTAGGCTGTGGCACGTATGAACATTGGTCGTCTTAATCTAATTGAGCCAACCAGCCCAATTATAGCTTGGACCTGACCAGCCAGAGACATATATGTTTTCTATGTCTCTGCACCAGCATATCTAAATACTGTAGTTGTGTGCCATCTTGTGTGCTTTATATGTAGTGAATATATTGTCTGCAATAGGCCTTTACTGGGGCCTGTTTCTAATCACTTTGTGATTTTTCTAAAAATATTCATTGAATGGAATCATCTAATTTTAGGAATGACCTACTGCATGACATTTTATGAGGAAATATTGATAATTATTTTGCAGAATTTAAAAACTGCTTCATTTTGGGAAAAATAAACAACCTCATGTAATGACTGAATAAATCAATCATACTATGTATGGATTTTATTGTAAGTCAGTTTTGATCCAAAACAAAGCTATTCAAAATGGTATAGACGTCCTATACTCCAAAGATTCTCAGAAAGAAGTTGGCATGCTCCAAGGCCCTCCCAAAATTAAAAAACGATCACAGCCCGTGACATTAGCTAAGGCTTTATTTTAATTGTTTAAATTTCATAAATCATAATTCACAATGTGTTTTAGAAACAGACCCCTGAGTCCAGACAGGGTCTGTAGCTGTTAGGAGATATATCAGACTGATAATCTATCTTACTTATTACTATTGTAATATTATTTTGGGATATAATAGCCAGTGCTAATAATATATTAAACAAATTATTGTTTCATGTGCACAGCAAGTCCTCAATACATGATTTTGTACATGTACTTACAAAGATGGAAAAGAATTGAGGACATTTAGTAAATCAACAATATCTTACACATCCTGAGCCCCTGATTATTTGATATTCTTAAGTTCTAGATCATTTGTTTTAGGTGCAGAGGGACCCTGATGGTGCACAGTTCTCAACCGGGAGTACTGACAGTGAGAATGAAGGCTCATCTAGCGATAGTAGCTCAGATAGTGAGAGTGACTCAGCTATGGATTCAGCAAATGAGGTTAGGAAATCACTTTTTCTTTACACTTTTGTTTACAATTTTCATGCATTGCTTAGATAATATGCCTAAATAACAATACAATACACTCAATGATAAAACAATGCTATTGTCTAGAATACTTGGACATTTTTTGGAAGGTCGACTTTTTCAGAAAATCTCTTTATCTTTTTTTAGTCATTACAAGAGATATTTGGATGATAAGACAATATTTTCAAACCTTGCACAGCGCCTTTAAGTATGTCCTAAAAAATTATTTATTTATTAGATAGACCTTTTGTTTGCTCAGGAATCATCATTACTACGTATTTAAATGAGGAGTTTTTTAAAAACTGAGCAAAATAAATATTGGTAATCCTCAATTCAACAATTTACTCTAAATTAGTTTGGAAAGGATAAATGATGTGTTTATTCAGGTGTTAAGTTATTTGAACAGATCAATGTATCATGGATAGGCACAAAAAATGAATCTCAGTAATATGTAAGTACTCCTTTAAACAATCCATTAAGGAAAAAACTAAGATATACTTGTATTAAACAAGTTGTATTCATAACAAGAAGTCTAATACAGTAACAAAAGTTTAAAACAATGGCCTTCTTAAGGGCTAGACTTAGAAAACGTATAATAGTAGGATGTATCATTCTGATTCCATACCTTATATACTTTTCCAATTGGAAGTTCACATATGAAACAAAAGTTGAAGTTAGCCGGAACTATTTACAAGGAGTGAAATATGAAGATTACTACATCAAAGCAGACGGATATTACAAATTTAGTTCTCAGACAGTGGGTTTGATCATTGGAAACAATAGATCTGATTATAGAAGTCAACAAATGGAATCATCTCTTTTGTACGAATTTTCTCCTGATATTGAAGAGAATGTAAGGAACCTGTTTATCAATGAAAATGGAACTAATGATCAGCTTGAATTTCATGTTATCAGTCCAGCTATTTTGCCTTATAAGGGTAATATTATGGTTGTGGCGAGAGTTTGGTTGAATTATGAGCGTCGTCGTTCAGTAGATAGATTGAATGAGAAGAACCAATGGATGGACAACTATCTTTATTCGCAGATGTTTGATGGCAAAATGCATCCTATATCTCCTGGCAAATTACTCGGCATCCCAGCTCCTGTCCAATATAAAATGAATGCTGGCTGCTCGGATGCCAGACTTTTTAAATGGATGGGATCTCTCATGATCTCTTTTTACATGACTATAAGAGACAATAAAAGTATAGACATTGGACAGCTATATTTATTGGATTATGAGCACAACATTATACGGAAGCCAAAAATTGTAAATCACACAATTGCCAGAATTGATTCAAATTGGGCACCTTTAATAATAAACGAATCTCTTCATTTTGTTTACACAATGGATCCATTGAGAATTCTAAAATGTACAAGAGAAGAAAATATGGATATAATCTGTCATTTTATCATGTCTATTGATACTGCCTTAGTGGAGTATCCATTTCACAGACGGACTGACTTTTTGCGTGGAGGCTCACCATTTTTACCATATAAGGAGTCTTATTTCATCAGCGTGACTCACTCAACCTTGACATATATAACTGATGATCAGGAATGGCCTCATCCAATATATGGTGCCCATATTGTACTTCTCAAAGTTTACCCATTTAGAATAATTTATGTCAGTGAACGTCTCAAAATTCACCCTCGTATTTATGACAAAATACCGATAGTTCGAAACAAGTACATTCTTCACCCATTCTTGTACCCAATTGGTCTCATCATAGAAGACAGCAACACTATTGATATAGGCATCCATATAAATGATTATAGAGCATTTATTATTCGTCTTACTGGAATTGAAAATGTCTTAGATGAGGCCATAATGATAGACAGCGGGAATAATGGCTATAAGGAAACAGCACAGCCTAGATCTATTCAGCAGTTTGTGAAACATTCACTCCAGAAATCACATTTTAATCAAACTTGGAGAATTGAGGAGGAAAATACAAAACAGAACATATCTTGATAAACCTCTGATGGTTAATATTTAAACAATTAATTCAACTTGAATTTTGAATTCATTTGCATTTAGTAATTGCAGTATCATTTTTTGGAGATGCAAGTTTTGAATGATTCTACTGTACTGAATAACACTAGATTACTGAGTAATGAATTATTGACATAGGAATATTGCTATGTTTGTATGTTTATTTTGTCATGTACAGCTTGAGTTAGTGTTTTCAATTATTTTAAATTTATTGATTTCGAAAGAAAAGAATTAATGATTGATGTTCAGTACATTTAAAGAATATATGATTGATATACAGTGCATTTAAAATTTATACAGTCTATAGAGTGCATTTAAAAAGTGATTGATGTAAAGTACATATACATGATTGATGTACAGTATATTTAAAAAAAATATGTATATGTTAGTTTGATAGTTTCATTTTAAAAACCAACATGCAAATGAATTTCGTATTTTGTCTATTTTTAATACTGAAAATTAAAACTGGTATGTATTTGTATTATCTAAAATAGATGGTATGCTGTAATCTTGTTTACTCACATGTGACAGCTGACTGTGGTAGATTATTAATTGAGAAAATATCATAGAATATTTACAAGTGACATCCATGTTAGTTATTGTGATCAGTGGATACAAAGTAGGTAAACAAAGTTCCCATATTGCAAGTTAGGCTTTTGATGATTTGGCCTTTATTAGGCCAAATATTCGTTGCAAATTGATGAGTCTCATGTAAAGGTTTATACAAACTTTCAGTTGGCATTTAGGCTCACCAACTTATGTTTAGATGGTTAAAATTGTTAAAAAAATATTAAAGTCATAGATGCAATATAACTAAACTACTGTTTGCTCCATTGAACAATGATCCACATAAAAATGAAGATCCAACAAAACAAAATTTCACCATAATACGAGGGGGGATTCATAAGTAGTGGGACTTCTCTGAGGCAGCAAGTCCCTGTGTACATATCTCAACCAAATTTGGCACATGAACGGACTAGGATATAAGGCATTGTTTGGTGAAATTTCAATTTAATTCATTTTGTTCCCTAGCAACAATGGTTGCTATGGTAACCAAAAGTAGGGGTTAACGGAGCAGTTAAAAAATGAAGGGCTTGATCAACATAAATATTCTCATAGATATCTCAAAATGACAGTTATTTTCAAAAAATTGGTTTCATATTGTCTCAAGCCTTGTAGTCATCACAACTGTAACATATGTCACATCATCATGCTATTGTGATGTCACACAAAGCAGTGACACCAGGACACTGCCAATTACAGTCCTTCTTGGATGGAGCAAAATTTGATTAAAATAGCAATGAAAAAGCAAGAATCACGTATAAACATCCGTGCTGTGATTAAATTTAATGCTTTGAAGAAGTTTTCAGTAATAGAGACCTATAGAGGTTTGTTGGAAGTCTATGGGAAAGAAAAAGTAAAAAAAAATCTACAGTATATCGGTGGTTTTCTGTATATGTATTCTGAATATGCTGTGAGAGCCAAGATGATCAATCTTGGAAAATATGGTTTTGATGGTGCATACCTAGAATGGTTGAAGAGATGCCAAAAATGCATTGATTGTCACGGCGAATACTTTGAGAAATAGTGAGATTGCACCAGAAGGATAAGGAATCAATAGTCTTGCACAGAATTGATGTGCTCCACAAAAGGACTCCCTAGAAGTCACGGATTGGAGCACTTCCTAAATATCAGTTGAGACTTGTATATTTAACTAGCAATTAGTGACAAACGATGTGCTCCGTAGACCCTGTTGTGACGTCATGTTTGGAACTCTCACTTTACTGAAGTTGGGTGTAACTTTTTGAAATTTTCACACAATGATTATCACATGTTTGTGGTTCTGTGTTCCAAGTTTGAATAAAATCTGGTTGATATAAGTGAAGTTATAGTATTTGTCCCACTACTTATGAATCCCCCCTCGTATAAAAAAGTTATTCCAAAATCAGAGAGCTGAACTTTTGGGTCACCCTGTAAAATAAAAAGAATATATTTTACATTTGAATACATATTAAAGCCAGTTGTAGGTGATCATTTACTGTCAACTATATACTTTATGTTGTTTTATGTGTACAGGGACTTAGTGGCCACAAAAAGATGAAAATGAAGATGTATGATAAGTGCCAGATATGTGACAGCATTGATAACAGGAATAACCACGTAGAGGAGGTCGTCACTTGTGCCGAGTGCAATAAAATTGGTATGTTTTTATGTTACCGCCAGAAGTGGTGACATATTGCTATACTTTCCAACTTTTTTTCTGTAGATATAATAGCAGCGGACCAAATAGGCTATTTTGACAGAATATTAGAGGTTCAGTAGACTAAACCAGTAGTTATAGTCTGATTTACTGATGAGATAAGATATCCTATATGATCATTCATATGTTTGATCCAATATGACAATCACTACTAGTCACCATGTAATAGGAAGTTTTTTGCTCTGATTAAAAGATGTCACCCGATAAGAGCAATTTTTCAAAAATGTATGATTACTATACTGTATACGAACATGACTGTATTCACGCCTTCTATAAACTGTAAACAAAGTCAATGCTTCAGCTGGGTTATATTCGAGATCAATAACCCAGTTAATACGTGTAATGTGTGATGTCATAACGGTGGGTCGTAGTAATGGCAGACCATGATGAATATTCGAGCACAAAAGCTTTCGAACCCCTCACTCCCTTCGGTCGTTCGGGGTACAGAAAACGTTTGTGCCGAGACCAGCGGGGTGTTATTCGAAACTAGAAACCCTGCTCTTTGGTCTATATTTCTTAATTACTGTATACTGCTCAGGATTTAAACATTGTTGTATGAACATATGTATATTACAAATTATATTTTAGCCCATCCAACATGTTTTGATGTGACAGAAGAGATGATTCCAATCATCAAGACCTACCCATGGCAATGTATGGAGTGTAAAACATGTGTAGAGTGTATGGACCCCTATGATGAAGTAAGTAAAGTATGCCAAGGGGCAAGCCCATCTATAGTTCTTGTTGATATTGCAATGTAACCAGTAAAGGAAAACAAATATATTTTCAAAAATGGTCATTAACAAAGTTTTACAATGCTGAGAAAATTCCCAAGAAAAAGTCATTTCAAGGAACTTTGATTGAGTGAAATTCGAAAATTTGGCCACTTACTGAGGAAATACAAAAGTGAAAAAAACAAAGTGAAAACTAAGTTGGAAAATATACATCTGCAAATAATAATGATACATGCTATGGTGTATTTCAGGACAAGATGATGTTCTGTGACCATTGTGATAGAGGCTACCATACATTCTGTGTGGGACTAAGGAATATACCATCAGGAAGGTGGGAGTGTGCAAGCTGCACCCCTGGGGGACCTCCTAAGCCTAAGTAGGTGTACTTACTAAGAATTTCAAGATAATATTCATTTGTCAAACAGTTACTGTATTCGTCTTTAATTTGGTGCTACATAATTTGGAGATTTTGGGATATCAGATATATTGGGCCTATTTAATTTGGCAATTTTTCTCATTTGCCAAATTAAAATGCTCACCAAATTAAAGACAACTACAGTATAAGATTTGAACTTTTTGACTCTACATGATCTCATGGTCAACTTCTCGTGGTGGTAATACTAATTGGTGGAGTGGAGTTAACAAGGGTATTGAAGCAGAGGGGGGAGATAAATCTGGTCATTTTCATTACGAAGTTTCAATTTTATTTCAGTTATAAAAAAACATTGTTTTAGTTTATAATTTGTTTTATTTATTTTAGATAAGTACATTCAATAAGAATATTTCTTTTTAAAATTGTAGGAAAGTCAAGCGATGATATTGTATTGCCATGGAGACAGTCCAACCCTTCAGTCCAACAGCTTGTGACATGAAGCAAAATATAACAATAGGCAGCTTCTGACACATGAAAAAATCTCTCAAGTATGACCAGGCAGAGACATTAAACAAGGACATTTCCTCCTGTTTGTAGAAGTAGGAAGATACTTTGTTCATGCCTGTGATACTCCGCTCATATTTCATATGATCTGAGGTTGTTCATTAATTTTCACACATCAGATGTTATTATCCCTCATCATTCAATTCAACTTGCAATCTATTTTTACTGAATACAAAATCATATTCATGTTTTTATAATCATATCATTGTAAATTCATTTATTCCACACCCTGGATTCCACAGTTTAATGAGTATGAATGAATGAGTATCTAGTACAGTTATTATAAGCTTTATAAATGTATAAGGGTGACTGTATTATATATATCTCATACACTACTATATTTGTACAATTAAGTTTACATTTAGTATGTTAGAGAATAATTGGGCATGATGTATTAGAAAAATATATATAATGTTGTAAAACCATATTAAATGTATTTGCTTTCATAGTTCCTGAATCCTGATCTTTATGAAGCTGATTGGTTCAGCTGAGCATACATTACAAAATATCAGGCACATCAGGTCAAATTAATTAGGTCATATAATATGTCATAAAGTCAAGGTAAATCATTATCCTTTCATTATATCAAAGCTTACCAAGTTAATCATGTCAGGTGAAATTCTATTATTCAAATACCAGCATATCTAATTTTATTGTAACTATGTATTATAGACTTGCTTTGAACTGGTGTATTTGAGGCTTGGTAACATGGTAAAGTTATTCTTCCTTTAGTTTTTCCACTTTGTTATGTGGACAGCTGAGGTAGTGAATTGGGAATAGGACTCCATCCCCATTCTCATAGGAACCATCTCTGTCCACACTTGGTTCAAATAGTCCACAGCTTATATTCAAGACGGCTGCTAGAAGGTATGCTCCGATATTAAGACCCCATAGCACAGACACATCATTTCCTTGCACGATGTAAATATTAAATACCTCCCATAGTCCCTTCCATAGGAAAATTGACGCAAATGCACTCATTGTTACGAAAACATCCTCTGTGATTAGCTTGGTTAAATGTCTCTCCTGTGAGGAGGTAGAAATATGGAAGAATGGATATTGTAATGCGAAGCAGAGTAATATTACCAGGTAGCCATAGTAACAGATTGTAAATGCTGCAAGCTTGGGGTCCTCAGGTGAGATTTGATTGGCTGCTAGGTTGGAAATTCCCCGCCAAGTGATCACTACTAAGGCATCAACAACAACGATACTAAATATGTGATCCAGTAAAAAATTGAATTTTTGCCGAGTCTGAAAAAAATTCAACCAATAATAATAAGACTATTAAAATCAAAAGATAGTTGGTGTTGAAATACAAGAAGTGTTAATACAATTTTAAATCTAAGTAGTGTGTTTACATATGAAGAATGTAACAGCTCATAAATATGGAGGGTCTCCGGCCACTCCAGAGTATTTTGATTGGCAAACAAGGCCACATAACTTTTCTGAAATGAAGAAACAGAAAATGTACTCAAGTATTGGAAAATGCATACAAAAACAGTTCAATATTCTTACAAATATTCTAAAAAATTGAGTGATATGTCTGAAGAAACTAGATACTCACAGAGCTTCGGAAATATCCTTCCACCACGAAATAAGATTTTTCTGAGTCTTGTCCACTGCATACAGGGGGAGCCACTAAGTTACGAGTGCATCCAAGGAGGAGCAACGGGATATAGCCAATCAGAATAGAGTAAATAGCACTCTCGCTACTGGTCCCATCATACATATCATAGATATTAGTTACTCCACGCGTGAACAAGATACCAGAACATGCAGTTAAATAACCATAGAGTCGGCTTGCAATGAGATATACTCTGGCATTGTCTCGAGATATTCTATATAACAAAGATTCCTGTGAGACACTTAAAATGAGCATACAGGTAGCGCCACCTATAGTCGAGCTCCAGTTACTGAGATAGGTGTCAGTAGGGTAGATGTAGTAATCAAACAGCGCCGTGGTTACGGTCCAGAACAACATATTGAGTCCAGTGAAGACGGTACAGTTGAGCAATACATCTATCCCATAGAGCAGATTGTTATTAGTTCTATATCTGGTCTTTGGCAGGGTGAGGACATCAGCATTAGATCCCAACCCATCCTCCTTCTTAATGTTGGAATTAACATCCATTTTTCTGCAACTTAATTACTTTGGAATATCTGAAAGTATTGAAATGTACAAATGTATCTCTTAATCTCTAAATACTAGTATTTAAGTATTTTCAGGAGAAGCATTAACTAGGCTACTGTATGCTTCTTATTCACTTTTACTTTTAAATGTATTTAAAGTCACCGTTGCCATATATGAAATTAGAAATCTCACCTTGACTAGAAACAAGGACTTTTGACTTGTAATCCAGCCAACTCAAAGGGGGCTCTGTCTTATTGCTTCATTGATTACAGATTTTAAAGCTTTATTGCATGTTCGTTTTGTGAATATACAAAGCATATTTTTGTAAGTTACCAACTAATTAACCAAAGAATGCTAACTATCACTAATTCTTAAATTTTGATGGTTCTGGTGCACAAATAATGATTATATCATGTTACATTTATATATAAATTCACTTACCGGTACTGTACTTTTATTGCTATTTTGTATTAGTCTTTAGAAAAAACACTATATTCATCATTATTCGTGGATATTTCTTGGAGATTTTAGAAAAAACAATCTCTCGGGTCTTTAAAAGTACAATTTATTATGTACCTGTAATGTCAGACGAATCAAGCATTTTCTTTTGACATCTTTGCTGACATCTTTGTTGCCAAAAGAGATTAGTAACCCTCACCTTGACTTGAATCAATGGAGCCTAAGATTAAACAACCTGCCGACTGCTGCTGACTTGTAATCCAGTCAACTCACAGGGGCTCTGTGTCCCATTGCTTCTCGTACATTCACCTCATATGTCAGATGTATCAAACATTTTCTTTTAACAAATAGCCAACATGTTCATGATACTGCATAAAGAAAGTACTCAAGAATGTTGAAACACTAGAAAACTCTTGAACAACTATAGTAAAGTAAACATTGGGATCTATTCAGTGTATTCACATATATCACAGTGACATGGGTGCAGATTTCAATACTGTTTGCTTTTCAATTGAATTATTCTTAGTTTATGCGTGTATCAGTTGTAATCTTAGTTATTTTGAAAGTGCATGCTATATTTCATGCTGTATTAAGTAATACTAATAAAATTACTTTTTAGAAGCTGAACTAAATAATTCTATGGTAGTTAGAAATGTGAAAACAAAAAAGTACATATATGCAAATATTATCACAGTTACATTGGGATTCAGTTCTCTTTTTTTCAAATATACAGTAAAGTCATCACGAACCTCATCTGAAAATTCCAAAGACATTTATAAGGAATTCATTAACGTGAAATGAGTCAACTTGGTTTTAATGGCATTTGGTAAACCAAAATAATTGATATTCTGAGAAATACGATCCATTCCCCTCTTGGCAAACTAAAAAAGTTGATGATGATTATGTTTTCATCAAGAAAATGATTGAAAAACTGTATCAAAACTGCAGAACTTGAGGAAGAGAAAGTGTAAATCCAAATAACCTGTTTAGAGAACTTACAGAGAATTAAAAAATGTTTTTAAAGAGCTTGATAACAACTAAAACAATAATTATAGTCAAGCTATCATCATCATTGCAGTAGTCTCAGTGAACATAAGTTTTATAGATTCACTTGGTTCTCATTTATAGGCCAAGTCAAAACTTATCAATGAAGATTCATCATCTTGGTTTTACATTAGAAAAGAGGGAATTATTTTGTTTTATTATATACCCAATATGTAACACTAATCCTGATTGGTCAATACCTAGTCACGTGTTCCGAAATAGATTTACTATTTCCCTCGGAAAGTTATATTCCCTCAAATGTGACGTCAGCGGGAATATACATTTGAACTATTGCCCGCTGACGTCACAATTGCAAGTTCTATTACCCTTGGAAACGTCTGCGCATCATCACTGCGCAGACGGAAAACAGAAAAATGGAGGATGAGCACAAACACAAATCAACTCCGTTCACCATGACAGACGTGCGTGAACGATACAATATAAGCAACGTGTATAAAGTTCCCTAAGCTCAATACGTCTGTGTAATTTCAAGTGTTACGATAATCTATTCCGCGTGTTAAACGCGATTGAATTTGTCAAGTGAGAGTCTCAGAGGCAAAAATTTCTGTTGAGCATCTGATGACGTCACAGCTTATAATGCTAACAATGGACCCGGGGAGGGGGCTTTCTAAGCCTTTTTGGCCTTCGCAGAGGAAACGGGACAAGAGTCAGTATAGGGTATATAATAAAACAAATAGTGACTGTCTAATTTCGAGCAATAGTGTAAATTATTTCCCCTTGGGAATATCCTCTACAATGTACTATTCCCTCAGCCTGCGGCTTCGGGAATAGTACATTGTAGAGGATATTCCCTCGGGGAAATAATTTACACTATTGCCCTCAATGGCAGTCACTATTTGTATAATGATATGTAAAAAGAATCCTTCAGAAAGAAAAACTTATCATTAGGTAAATCAATATTGTTGGCAGTCCTGATGTTATATTTAAGAAGCTAATGTTTCATAAAAATGCTTATGTAATTATTAAATCCCTTGACCATCCATTCAAAAAATTGGATTGATGTGCCAATACTGAATATGATACATTACACCATAGGCTTTCAATTAACTGAAAGCCCATGATTTACATTTTCTCATGCTCGATTTACAATTTACTTGCATTTTTTCAGTTTAGTTTTGTATATTACACAGTAATAACCAATGTCATTGATCTGGCATCAGTGTGGAGTACATACATAGTCCTTCTCCATCTTTCTCTACACTTATAAATGTCTGTAAAAATCAGTTAAAATGAATTTGTTACCTTATTGAGTGTTACATGCTAGATGCACTCTGTTCCCCAGCTTCCATCTCAGTATTTAACCTTCAGTACTGATTTAGAGTGTATGCTTACATGTTTTTCCTAAATATATATAGCTGGAAGGCTATGTTTAATAAGGCTCTGGTGTATAATTAAACTCATTTGTTAATTGACTTCTATTGAATGACTCAAGTAAAAGGTAGAATTTGCTTACTTACTGCGAAAGCTATGTGGATTTTGATATAAGTTTCAAAATCTAACATGGCTCTCGAAGTGAGTAAGAATTTGCCACAAAGGGATATATGTTTTCAATTCACTAACCAAATACACTTTCTGTTACCATCATATATTACTTTAATATGACTCTGTGATTTTTAAGTATAAAAAAATGGTTTACATTATTTACATTTATTCGGAAAACGGCTTGTATTTGTTTGATATGTTTTTCTGGTGGAAAATAGTGTGAACATATCTATGATCAAATTGAGAAGATATTATAGATTGATCATGTACATGTAGGAATTCTTTATAGTCATGAAAAGTGAGATTTTTCATCATCACTCATATTGAATGCTAAAAGGGATAGAGGTGGTGTTTAAAAATTGTTTTTACAGTAATTATGAATGATTCCAAAAAAGAAAAATCTGTCTCAGATGTTGCCTTTAAATCAAATATTTCTTACATTCTCAGTATTTCTTTATATATGTTTCTTTATCATGTATATTATGTGGAAGAGAAAACTTACTTGACCTGTTGACTGTGTTTACTGTGTGACCCTCCATAAAATTAAGCTGCTAAAGGTATAAGTCTGTAGGTAGGAGTAGAAGCCTATAAAGAGGCTTTTGTATCAACGTTTTTATATGGGATAAATATATTATTTTGTCTACTCAATACAAAATATAGTATGGTTGAATAGAAAATAATGTCCAGCAAGGTCTATATTTCTGTTCATTCATATAAAATGGTTGAATAGAAATTAAGGTTGTGTGTAGTCTCCACCGATGGTCTTAACAATATTTTCTGTTCATCTATTCAATATAATGTACATTGTATTTTGAATATTGAATATGAAAAATAAATTAATAAATGAAAAATAAATTAAAAGTTCACTGTTTTTGCAAGAGTAATGATGATCTTTCAGGCAAGACTTTAACTCCTGCTCTAATTAACATCTGTGGCTCTTTAACCATAAACTAAATATTATCTTTGACATTTGTTTGAAATTCACCAGTTGTTATACATGCTCAAAACCTGTTAAACTCTACTGTTAAAGATAGCTTCTAATGTAGTCCTTCCATACATTATCATGGCCAACCATTGGAACTTGATAGGCTGTGTTTTCAATATTTTCATATTTTGAACTGGCTGTGTTTTCAATATTTTCATATTTTGAACTTAATTAAGGGACAGCACATATATAGGTTGGGTAAGGCACACTAATCCCAGGCCTGGTCATACATGTGTCTGTCTGAATCATTGGTGGCTGAAAGAAATTCAGTAGAGGAGAAATTAATTGTTTCAGCGGGTAATTTTGTTCCATTGGCTTCTCCCAAGTTTGAATGGTTGGCCCTTTTGATATCCAACTTTTCTTTTTTATGGTTAACATAATACTCACCTTTTCAAATCTGAAGATCAGATGAAGGCCAAGGTCACCTGAAAGGTCAAACATTAGAATATTATCATGGCATGGGATCAGGTCACAGTAATATCAACGTGGTTGTTCTTTAAAGAATAGAAATAAAAATCAATCAATTAAGTTCTACTTCACTAAAAATAAATATGAATATAAATATTTTTAATCAATGTCACTCTTTTTGCATGATAGGGGTCATCAAAGGTCAACATCACATGAACTTTTGAATTGAATGAATGAGTAAAGTATATTTACCTGTGAGCAACTTATTTTTTCAAATCATGTTTTCTTAATGTCCTGCTGCAAATCATCTTAGTGTGTTCAAGAGAAGTTTTATTTTTACAATTTTAAGTTTTTCTGGTGTAGAGGTTCTATTTCCAACCTAATAATGTTCAGCCATGGATATGTTGAATTTAGTACAAGTCCTATGTGGTTCACTTAATGTAAGTTCACTTATGTTATTTCGTTTAATCGTAGTAGAACAATCTTCAATTACTGTAACAAGTGGGGTGTTAAGTAGAGTACATGGCTTATAATCTCTCACATTTTACAAGTCTACAAGGGGCTATGTCAATATACTGTATGTTTTAAATCAAATTTTTTTCCATATTCAAAAAAGTATTGGTATAAATGCTTTGAATTTGAGGAGTACCTGGCAAAAATGTGATTCTTGAGAGGTGACTTAATTTGAAATAAATCAAAAATATTACAATTGCATTCTTTGAGAGAGGAAGATCAACTTGAATTTAAAAAGTGAATTATACAGTACTGCATAAAAAACCAAACACTGCTCAGATTTGAGCTCATACAGCATCTCAGCTACAAGCTTGACAAAATCCTGGCTTTTATCACTTTGAGCAACATTGAAATATTGGCCTGGTCCCTAAAAAGAATCATAAGAATGGAGTAACAGCTGAGAAATTCATTATATTTATTGATTAGTGTTGAGTTGGAGGTAATTAGGACATTGGCACTAGACTTCCAGAAGGCCCAGAAGGGAAAAGACTTGTATGTTAGGCTAGGAATGTTGAATCATATGTTTAGCATTAGTTTATCCAGAGACATATGTTTTTTATGTCTCTGGTTAGCTTTTAGCCTTGCCCAAGTCGGTATTTTTTTTACTGATCTGATCTTGGTCATAATAGAAATCAAGATAAGTAAAAGAGACCGACTTGGGCAAGGCTAGTAAGCTTTGTAGAAGGATAAATGGTGAAAATGGAAATGAAATGGTTCATTCACCAGATCAGAAAATGCTGCACTGGTGGTTCAATCATGTGTGCCTTCTTTAATACAAAACACAAAGCAAAGTTTCATAAAATACTGTATCTAGTAACTCCTTTAACATTTTATATTTATGTTCCATGGCCTTATAAAATCTGTTGTCTAGTACTTGCTTATTTTATAATCTAATTTTATGATATCACTTAGACCCACGACATGGATTTATTCATTTTAAATAAAATCTGACTGTTCTAGTTTGGCTATTAAATTACCCTTCCTCCAGCTAGCTAGCCATCCAGCTTGTATAGGCTATGTTAGGAAACCCATAGAGTTACTCCCTTCTGTAGGACAGCTGCGGCTTCCACTTAGTAGTGGGTGCAAGTGATATGAAGAAATCATATTTTGCATTTTGCGTCCTTATTCAGAGAATAATTGATCCTTGAGGGAATTGGCAAAGATAATTGAAAGTGATTAATAGTGATCAAGACAACATAAGAATTTGGAATAAGGGATGAGTCTCAGAGAAAAATGTTAATATAAAGTTAAGCCCAACATAAGGGAATATGTCAATGATTCATTCATTGTCAGAAACAGTCAATATACAATCTGATCCAAACTGATTAAAGGCAGGCTCTTTAACAGTCATATACATGTATTTTTGTTGCTTTGGTTTGTAAAGATGGCACTCATGGCATACAATGGTCATGCAATACAACAGACCTTACCAATCATATCATATTACCATACCATGCTATCATATTAGCACGTTCGAAAACAAATTTTATAAACAGGCCACAATTTGCCATTGAAATGGATCTCCAAATGTTCACTGTAGTTTCATGAGTATTCTCTACAAGTATGGATTGAGTAACTTCAATAGTATTACCGTTGGTTTGAAATGATGATGTTGAACTGCTGTTAACGCCATTCCCACGATTTCAAATTTAACTTAGCGCATGCGCAGCACTGAGAGAGCATGTGCTTATGATTGTTCACGTGATCGAATCCTGCAATTTGATTGGAGATGATGCAAGAGATGATGTAATGGGGAATCCCCGAATACAAAAGAATATGAAAGAATTATGGGAGCTACTCACTCCTCCTGCTGTCCATGCAAAAATAGGCTCAACTTATTGCTGATTTTGAAAAAATACTATCAATCTAGCCAATATATTGTAGTTTCTCTGATGGATTAAAAGATGGCACTATTAATCAGAATGTCTATTCATGCTGTCTGAGTTCACCTATGCTAATGACTTTACAAAAGGTAACGAGTATCCTTTGCATGGTAGATCACACATAGTCGAAATGTGATCATATTTTTCAGAATTTTCAGCAGAATCCACAATTATTCATCTAAACTTCTTGTCCCTTTTCTTGTCTCGTGGCATATACAGTATTCACATTTAATTTGGTGCTACTTGAATTGACTTTTTGGGATATTGGACAATCTTATTGACACATTCATACTCTGTTGGGAAAAACCCTGGGTAACAAGCTCTTTTAATCATTTGTACATTATATTTAATCTATATTATTGTTTCATAAGTGTTTACAATTCTTTTAATCTGTCTTTCTATTTACAAATGATTTTATCTGATTTAAATCACTTTTCACAGAGTCTAAAATGTTTTCCCTTGTTGGCTCAAAGTCCTTTTTGAATGGCCCCAGATCAAACATCCTGCAGACCCCAATACTGATTGACACTGGAAATATAACACAAAAATATCTCAATTATCAGTAAAAAATTATATAGCTTCAGGTGCATTTGTATTCCTCATGTATGTCTATACAGGTGATCTGAAAAGGATACAGGGTAATAACTCTCTAATAAGACTAAGGGTATATGATAAGGTTTCGGAGCTTCCAAAGCATAAACTTCCAAAATGTTGTATCAAAGAATATGATCCACAAAATCACAAGGTGTAAGAGAGAATCAAAAATAATGTATAAGAAGATACCCTCACTCCCAAAAGAACCCCACCTTTATTCAAAATGGTGTCAATTTTAATGAGCAATTTGTCTTACATTGCTGGTATCAAACTTTGCATCGAGAATAACATTCAAAGAACCAATGAAATTAAAAGCACAAAACATATGAGACAGTGCCTTCTGGTTTTAATGTGTTTGATATACTTACATGCTATCATTGAAAAGCATAGACCAGTGTAGCAGATTTTATTGTAGCCTTTCATTCCAGGCACCTTCTTACGCCAGAACCAGAGGGTGTACAGCCCAGCCGCAGGAGGTACAACACTCCCAATCACCTTACAGCTCACACAATCATCATCAATTGCTTTCCCCTTTTTATCAAGCTTAGACAATAGGAGATCGGGTTCAGCACTCTGGGAAGGTAACTCCTCTGTAGCAAGTCTGAACAAGTTTTGTTGTCCAGCTTCATTTTCAACAACTACAAGACCACCATCAAGTCGTTTGATCACCTTCATTCCATTTATGTATTCATCACCATCAATGAATTTTGAGTACACTGTGGGATCATTTTCAGATTTCATTGTTTTTGGAGCATCGCATGTGGCATTTTTCCTAGATGTTATGTTGGAGAGTGCATCTTGCACTCTTTGGATTCGTTCCATAATCCAACCCATCTTGAATATTGAACTGTTCTGTATTTTGTAAAATGTCTTTGAAATGCAGTACTAGTAATATACAGTTATATCCCCATAATCCCTTCAATTTATTTATCAAATCCTTATGTTGTGCATTAATCGATTATGCCAAAAAGTGTGGTATTATGACACTGTAAGAATCCCCCTGTTCCTATTGTCAGATCTACATGTACAGTCCTCGTCAACTGTTGCTAACTTGGACAACGTCAGGAAGCTTGTTTGATATCAGGACTTGATGACTGATAATGCTGATTATTTCACCTGAAAATACATGAAATATGTTTATGGTAAGTACAAAAAACCATGCCAATTTTTACTCACAATTTATTTTATGAAAAAGAATATCTGAGCAATTTTTTATTATATTGAAGATTTATGGTGCCGAAATGTCCAATTTGTTAGAAATGGAAAAATCTGGTGTCCATTTTTCTATTTTTGCCAGATGACCTTAAAATGGAAAAGCAGGAGAAAGGCAGCCATTTTTAATTTGATATATTTTTATTCAAATGTTTCTATTGAAACTTTCTTCTAGAGCAGAGGTCATTTGTTCCACAACATGAACATGTTAAACATGAAGCAAATATGTCAACTGGTATTTGAGTTATCTCTCAAATTTTTGTTGTCTCAAATTTGTTGACTGGTATTTGAGTTATCAACCAGACATATACAGGTCGGACTATAAACAGTTGGATTCATGGATGGTAAATCTATGTCTTTTAACTTACCTATTACATTAGTGTTATGTTATCAAAAATGTTATTTTGGTCTCTTTTATGATGTAAGATCTTTTACACTATCATCACTTGGGCCAGTCCCCAACTACATTAATATTCAGTTTGGCAGTTAATGGGGATATGAACCTTAATCTTCTACACAAATGTTAATAAATATATGCTTGTCTGTAACTATGAAGTGACACTTGGGACTCAAACCAATGTTGGAGCCTTCCACCTTTAATCATTAAACAGTTTGTTGATCTTTGGATTGATGCTTTAGAAAATGATAATATACAGACAGAGGAATCAAATCGATGAAGGAACACGTAAGGAACAATGAGATTTTCATACTTTATTAGTAACTGTATGTCTTATATACTTAAAACTACAAATTACACACAAATAGAAACTTGATGCAAAATTATTTACAAGATCTGTAACATAGCAACATATGCCCATTGGGTGTCTAGCAGCATGATTTTATATTATATATAATATAAGAAATTATGAAATAAATTGAATTGAATAGAAATTGAAAATTGAAGATAATGAATTATCTATTTTAACATTCTAACACTTATGATATTGATATTATAATATATACAAAATATCAAATCATTTCGCATGATATCATTTTCATTTATAAGTTGATACCAAATATCAACATGAATGGGCAAAGTGAATGAGTGCTGATATTTTATATCTACGACGCAATGAAATGATATCACAAGAAATGATCTGATATTGGGTTTATCCCATTATTACATCAAAAATTTAAAAAAATGTTTATCATATGGATATGTGGTTGGTACACAATATTAGCAATATATGGAACTGATAAATGGTATCAGCTGAATATGAGGCATAAACAATTTACTGAAAAATATCACACAGATCTAAATATCAGATCTAATAATATCAGAAATATCACTGAGTGTTATGGTACAGATGATACAATAATCGTGGTATAAAATAGCATTTCATCACACATGATATATACATAATATCTGTGAGAAAGTTGCGATTACTGGTAAAAACGACTTATGTGTAAATGTTCTTTTCTATTTCTTCTTGAAAAGGGTTAGGTTACATTAACATTGGATTGTTTGGATTCATTGAAATTATTCTGGCACCATTTGCCTTGTTATGATAACAGTTGTGTTGCAATCAACATCCTGACAATTAACGAAGATGATTTGAAAGCAAAAAGATATTTCTAAGATCAACATTGCGCAATAATTGGAATCAGGAGCTGATGGTGCTTCGAGTGATGCTGTAATGTAACCTATAGAAAAGATTTTATAATTTTGAAAACTATTCTGTAATTTTTAATAGTTGATTGATTATAAAAAGTGTATCTTATGGACTTAATGAGTTAATAGGTTAAATGGGAACGGTGAAAAGTTCACTTGGATGATGTCAGACAGAGTTTGGTTGGTGTAAACATTTAATTCTGGCCATCACAAAATATCAACAACAAATTTGGGATTAATGGGGAACTTTTCAACTTTTCCTAAACAATGTGGGCAGAAATCTACAATGTTTATAATTAATTTTAAGAAACAATTTCACACGTATTTTCGGCCAAGTTTTATTAATGGTTATTCTTAAGATTTAATTGGATAAGACCTCTTTTTCGGCTCTGCCCATCTCAAAATTTGGGGTATAAAAGAGGCAATTTTACATTAAATCCTCAGAACCTTGTCTCACAACATTAAATCAAAAACTTCACATTAAAATTATCAAGAAAACAGGAAGGAAATAGGAAACATAAAAAAAGGTAAGTTAAATTTCTTTTGAAATTCGGATAAAGAAGAACAAAACTTTAGCAGTTCTTTAGTAGAAATATATTTGAAAGAAAACTCAGAATAGTACTTTGACTTATTCGAAATATAGTTACTTCAATACAACTTTGGAATTTATTCTTCAATATACATCTGACTTTTATAATTCATCTTTAGGCTTTCTTTGGGCCATGAACTATATAAAATACACTTTAATTCTTGTTATTCTTGCATGACAAAACTATTTTCAAAATCAAAAAAACAATATGACCATAGAGCAGATGGAGCTGGTTATCAAGTGGGTGATATGGTCATGTTATATACCGTAAGGAAGGTAGTAGGTAAGTCTAAAATTATGTCGATATTGGGACGGACCCTTTCTGATAATTGAAATATTATCGGATCTCGTGTGCAAAATTCAGAAAAATGAAAAAAACAAAAATAAAAGTGGTTCATAACATAATCGGCTTAAGAAATTTCATGGTGACTATGAAAACTGGTTATAAACATCATCTTTACAAACATTAACAATTGCTTCACTGCATATTCCAGATGGAGGGAGAATATAATAGAAAATGTCCAACATGTATTCAAAACACTGGAGTGAGTGAAACCTTTAATGATGTCATCGAGCTGTTCAACCATATGACTGAGGTGCATGGAGAAATGCCAAGTGGAGACATGCCAAGTGGAGAAATGCCAAGTGGAGACAGTCTGTTAGAAAGGTTAGAACGTCGAGATCAGGACAGGGTGCTGGCAATGCAACCAATTCAACCAATCAGCTTGGAGGAAGAACCACCTATTCAACTCTAAATTGAGGAAGAGAACTATATTGTCATAGATGACATATCGTTGCCATCAGTGTCTGCGTCATCAGCCAATTCAGATCAATCACCTCATAGAATAAGTTCGACTCACTCAGATTATGAGAGTGATTTGGACCCATTGCCAATCAACTGGTTCCCAGAGCAAGATGTAAAGAATGACGAAGTTTCATATTGCAGAATATGCCCTACCATTCAATATGCGCACATGCTTGCTCATGGGGAAGAAAACTCACTCAAATGCACAATTTGTAGTTATACTTTTCCAGATGGTCAAGCATTTGCACTTCATTTTTACTGACCCTTCCATCATCATTGAAGCAATGTGCTTTCAGATGGTCTGTTTGGTGCTCATCGCCACTCTGGTAAAGCTTTATGTAGAGAAGAGTGGGGGAAACATTCACCCAGAAGAAGGCGTCTTCTTTCAACCAGAAGGAAGATTATCGCTGCATAAGAATGTCTTACACATATTGTGTTTTAAGTTATTCGAAATATAGTTACTTCAATACAACTTTGGAATTTATTTTTCAATATACATCTGACTTTGATAATTCATCTTTAGGCTTTCTTTGGGCGATGAACTATATAAAATACACTTTAATTCTTGTTATTCTTGCATGACAAAACTATTTTCAAAATCATTGTTGTTTTTAAACTTGGATATTCAATTAATCATTTATTTAAAAGATACTATTCAATCTCGAATGCATGTCTATTTGTGGAATAATTTTAGAAACTAGGATTTCAGAATCTAAAACTTTACTTTGGATTGAATATCAACTTTTCTTTTCTTTGTGACATTAGCTGGGTACGAAGTGCAATATTGAACAAATATTTCACTCTATTGAGGTGAATACCTGTACATCTTTCACAAGTGATATTCCACGAAGCCCGAAGGGCAAGTGGAATATCACCTTGTGAAAGTGCTACAGGTATTCACCGAAAATAGAGTGAAATATTTGTTTTATTATATCACTGTCTAGCTAAACATCCCTAATATTATTAAGTCATAGGTTAACATTGAAATACATTGAATCTACTCGGTTCGTCTGCCATTTTGACTTACACTGAACTAAATTATTTACACTGAACGAAAACAAATTCTTTGAAAATTCCCGGGAGCGTGGGATATCGCTAGATATCTCACGGTTGTCTTATCTGATTAGCATTGCCATTGAATATCACCAGATATCCCACGGCATGTGACCCGGTTTTGACCAATCATACTGTCGCTAGCTAGATAGTGATATGATAATGCTACATATCAAATCAATTTGAGTGATATCTTATTTCATGGACTTAATATGAAATATCAACATCAGTGAGCGAAGCGAGTGCTGATATTTGATATGTACGAGGCAATAAAATGATAGCATGAGAAATGATCTATTATTACGTTTATCCCATGACTACAATCAAATTGTTCTACTCCAAGAAAAGAAACTCAAAGTTTATCATACGCATATGCAGCTGATATTGGAGCAAAATTAAAATTTTGTAAATAAATAATCCATGAAAATATCTCACATATCTTTACAATCTCAGAGATATCACTGGCTATTATAGAGAAACCTGGTTGTTGTTCAATGAATATTATATGATTACTGTACAGAAAAGAATGCTAAGAGACCTATTAAGTGGTCAAGTGTGGTCTGAAACTTTGTGTAACCTTTGTGGATCATTTTAGGCAACATTCAATAAGAAGCATCAATGAGAGGCTCCAAGTGTTCCAGAAGTATATGTTTCTTCACCTCCTCTGGCAGAGGCAGAGAGTCAACCTTTGTTTGAAAGTTATGGGCCTGAAGAAACACCCCAGATGAGTTGACACATTTACGGATGTATCTCGATGCTTGGTTTTCAAGTGACGTGGCTTTTTCAAAATGGAAATTAACCTGTTTTAATTTGTCAGGCTCTTTTTCGAAAATTTCTATTGCTTTCTCATACAAGGATTGTGCACATGGTGTGCAGCTGGTTTCTATGGCAACACAATACATCTCAACCTGCCTGAGATCATTACCATAGAAAAGGTCACTAGTGACTTTTGCTAGTTTGCACATGTCAAGATGTGCCCCATATTTAAAAAGAATCTTAAGAGCTCTTGATCTGTACATTCTACTCCAGGTTTCATTGATCAATTTCTGTAGAACTAAATCAATAGGATACATCTCAGGACTTTTTCCACTTTTTTGATTTGGATCACACCCTCTGTACAATAATGTTTCCAATGTGAAGCACTGTGTATTTCTCGTGGCAGTCAGTAACAATGAGTCTTCACCTTCTGGCACATTCATATCGGCACCATTGTCACACAACACCTGGACACAACCAAGTTTGTTCTTTTCAACAGCAAGCCTAAGTGGGCTAAATCCATATTCTCCCTCATTGACATTGGCTCCATTTTCTAATAATAATTTTACAATGTCTGAATGCCCATTATAACTGGCTATACATAAAGGAGTGCTATATCTAGAAAAGGGTCTTTTATAGCCAATGTCAGGCTTAGGTTTATGATTCAAGAGCAATCTTACACATTCAATGCTATTGCGTTCTGCAGCTATGTACAAAACTGATCTTGGACCATAATTAGATTTTTCAATGCTTAAATCTGGATTGTGTTGTAACAATATTTGCATGCAATCTGACATATCATACTCTGCTGCCCACATTGTAGCAGTTTCATCATCTTCCCCCTTTTCATCAACATCCATCCCTTTATCAAAAAGAACTTGCAGACATTCAGGATTTCCACTAGCTGCAGCATATAGCAGTACTTTTTGACCTCGTTTCCTTCTTGGATTCAGCTTTGCACCATTGTCAAGCAAGTATTGCATACAATCAGCATGGCCATTTTGGGCAGCATACTCTAGAGGATATGTATCATCATATAAATCCACAATTTTGTTTACATTAGCTCCATTTTTAACCAATTCTTTTAACTCATCCAATCTGCCGGTTTTAGCAGCATTTTCCATTAATTCAGCCTGTTTCTTTCTTAGTGCAACTGCTTTTTTACTCTGATTTGCGGGCATTTTAAAAATCCTGACTTGTTTAGTCTGCTTCTAGTGAATTGAGGTATTGATTATATCTTGTCTATTGTAGGTGATAACATCTTCCCTCCTGAAAGCACAGAGCAAGACTCCATTGTAGTTGAAGCAGACTAAAAGAGGGCTAAAAGGGTTGCATGTACTTCTAAAGCTAACATTAACATTAAACATGGCAAATTTATTACATTAAGAACATGTGAAATTGAATAAACACTATCTTTTGTAGTTCAAGAATAATTTTGAAATAATTAAAGCATAAACGAAATGTATCAGTCAAGGTTCCATTTTAGCTGCCAAAGATATGTCATTTCAGATCAGAGAGAAATAATTTGCAGCTTATAAAAATATAACCTCAGATGATTGAGACCTTTTAGCTTTGACATAGACATTTTGGTCCATTAAATGTCAAAACAATGAATAATATTGCACCTTAAATAGAATATTAAGAAGGTTTCTATTACATTGTTGCAATATCGTGGGTTTTCTGAACTTATATTCCCTAACCTGGAAAAGTGTAAATCCAAGAAAAAATTGAAATAATTTAAATCTCACATAACCAATCTGGAAAAATTCAATGAAACCACAAGCCTCTAGATGAGGGTTATGAAGGTAGCAATTCACTACCTGTTTCCCGAAACACTAAGCAAATATTTCATTCTAATGAGGGCAATACCTGTTCATCTTTCAATGATTTTTGCAGTATGTATTGCTTGGAGCCCATAGGGCGAAGGAAATACATGCTGCAAAAATCATTGAAAGTGAAACAGGTATTGCCCAAACATAGAATGAAATATTTGTTTTATATTATCATTGCTAGACATTCTCTATGATCACTTTGCATTTCAAAGAAATATAGAATATTTGTTTTAACCTGTAAACATTTGGTTTAATCAATAAATGTATTGTAAACCCATGAGATAACATAATTACGTACAAGTATCACTTTTAAGTACACTTTTATTTTCGTCCAGTGCAGATGTCAGAATTCCCGGGCGGGCAATACGCCGGACAATACATCTTTTATAATCTAAAAATCGAGGGAGCTGTGAAATACACTATGGTATTTTTGATCACATGGTGCTGAATTAGCCAGTCAAATTACACGATTTCTAGCATTGATATAATAATATTTGTTATTTCCTCCAGATATTTAACTTTGCTAACTTCCATAAATGACTCTTATGTCAAAATACCTGGATTTCTATTGTTTTGTCAATCAGATGATCTTTGATTTTGATCTTATTTCTTCTTCCATCTTTAAACATTAGTCAGCCTGGTCCTTTGGTTTAATGATGCAGGAATTGATAACATGGACAGGGGAACCAAATGGTTGAAGGGGCACTCCAAAATATATAAAGACCAATGACAGGTACATTTTCATATTTTATTAATATGTCTTACATACTTAAAACTGAACATGTAGAACATAGAGGCATGATGCAAAATTATTTAAAAGATAATTAATATAGACTAATATATATATTCTTATATTCTAGCACCTATGATAATGATGATATTATTATGATAAAATTTCAACACGAATGATATCTAGGATTTTATAAAATGATATCATAAGAAATAATCTGATATTGGATTCATCCCACCATTATGATAGAATGAAACTTTTGATTTTAGGAGAAAGTTTGCCAAATAAATAGGCGCATGACAGGTAAAATATGTAAGGGCTCAGGCCCGTAGCCAGGATTTGCCAAGGGGGGTTCAGTTTTCAAAAATTTCCAGGGGGGGTTCACATTTGACAATTTTGGCCCAAATATGGCTAAAATCACTTGAAAAGTGCTCAAAATGGTGAAAAACTGCATGATTTTGAAAGAATTTTTGGCCAGGGGGGGGTTCGCCCGAACCCTGCGAACCCCCCCTGGCTACGGGCCTGGGGCTGCTAGGATTTTTTTTGGACCAGTAGACTTTTTAGATATGACATCCTCCTAAGCATGTATCCAGAATCCGTACCTCCTTCTTCCCCCTGCTATCACCAATTTGGAAGCGCCCGATTAAACTGAATCACGTGATCTAATTATGCGCAATGACTTATACATGATTTCTGTCGCACTGTTGCGACAGCCAATCAGATTGCGAGTTCTTAATCAGGGAAATGCTAACTGCTTATAGCAGGGTGTAAAAAGAAAGAAGATATTCTGGATTTTGAAGCCCTGTGATCGGAGGATGAGATATGAGGTCTATTAAAAAGGCATAACGTCACCAATGCGGAAAAGTCAATGTTTTTGCTATAAATCAAGCAATGGGGGTCTACGCGACCAGTTATAAATACTTGTAAGCGACGTTATTATCACAAAATTAATAATGACGTTGCTGGCTTTTTAAACTTATATACCATACGCTATAAAAAAAATAATCAAAAATAACTACATAATGGAGGGGGGATTGAACGGAGGGGAATTCATAGTACTATGTATATAATACATAATAAGAGATGCTACTTGACTTTATTTCCTATAACTCCTAACTTTCCCATTTTTACTCTTTAATGATGTAACATCCAGTTTCATACTGAGTTAGGGAGTTTTTCAAATACACAAATGAGTAAATTGGTTCCATCTTAACCACATATCAATACCCCTGCCATTCAATCCCCCCTCCATTCAATTTTAATTTTTTTCTATTATTTTTATAAAACGTATGGTAACTACCTTTAAAAAGCCAGAAATGACATTAGTTTTGTGATAATAACGTCCCTTACAAGTATTTAAATGGTCATGCAGACCATTGTTGCCTGATTTATAGCAAAAACATTGACTTTTGCACATTGGTGAAGTTACGCCTTTTATAATAGATCTCATATCTTAGAAGACTATAGGTTCAAAAAATTCCTAGGAGAATAACATATTTTACCTAGCATGCGCCTATTCATTTAGCAATTCAATTGTAAAATTTCTCCTAAAAATAAATATCCCAGGTTTGTTGAATTTTCTAGCAGAAATCGCCGCATCCCCCATCTGTTCATTTCTTCAGATCACCGGGTGTGATAATAGTAAAACAAAAATTAATATGATCTCTGTACAGAATAAAAATACTAGGAGCCCTATTAACTTGGTAAAGGAGAACCTGGGACTTTGTTTAACCTCAGTAGATTATTTTAGGCAACATTCACCAAGAAGCATCAATGAGAGGCTCCAAGTGTTCCAGAAGTATATGATTCTTTACCTCTTCTGGCAGAGGCAGAGAGTCAACCTTTGTTTGAAAGTGATTGGCCTGAAGAAACACCCCTGATGAGTTGACACATTTACGGATGTATCTCGAGGCTTGGTTTTCAAGTGACGTGGCTTTTTCAAAATGGAAATTAACCTGTTTCAATTTGTCAGGCTCTTTTTCAAAAATTTCTATTGCTTTCTCATACAAGGATTGTGCACATGGTGTGCAACTGGTTTCTATGGCAACACAATACATCTCAACCTGCCTGAGATCATTACCATAGAAAAGGTCACTGGTGACTTTTGCTAGTTTGCACATGTCAAGATGTGCCCCATATTTAAAAAGAATCTTGAGAGATCTTGATCTGTACATTCTACTCCAGGTTTCATTGATTAATTTCTGTAGCACTAAATCAATAGGATACATCTCAGGACTTTTTCCACTTTTTTCATTTGGATTACACCTTCTGTCAAGTAATGCTTCCATTGTAAAATAATGCTGAGTATTTTTAGTGGCAGACAATAACAATGAGTCTTCACCTTCTGGCACATTCATATCAGCACCATTGTCACACAATAACTTGAAACAACTAAGATGGTCCTTTTCAACAGCAAGCCTGAGAGGACTGACTCCATATTCTCCCCCATTGACATTTTACAATGTCTGAATGTCCTTCATAACTGGCTATACATAAAGGAGTTCTACAATAGGAGAAACTTCTATTACTGTCAATGTTAGGCTTAGGTTTATAATTCAAGAGCAATCTTACACATTCAATGCTGTTACATTCTGCAGCTATATACAAAACTGTTTTTGCATCATATTTAGAGGTTTCCATGTTTAAATCTGGATTGTGCAATAGCAGTATTTTCATGCATTCTGGCTTATTATACTCTGCTGCCCACATTGTAGCAGTTTCATCAAATTCCCCCTTTTCATTTACATCCATCCCTTTATCAAATAGAACTTGAAGACATTCAGGATTTCCACTAGCTGCAGCATATAGCAGTACTTTTTGACCTCGTTTCCTTCTTGGATTCAGCTTTGCACCATTGTCAAGCAAGTATCGCATACAATCAGCATGGCCATTTTGAGCAGCATACTCTAGAGGATATATATCATGATAATAATATAAATTGGCAGTTTTGTTTACATTAGCTCCATTTTTAACCAATTCTTTTAACTCATCCAATCTGCCAGTTTTAGCAGCATTTCCCATTAATTCAGCCTGTTTCTCTCTTAGTGCAACTGCTTTTTTACTCTGATTTCCAGGCATTTTAAAATTCTGACTAAGTTGATAAGTCTGCTTCTAGTGAATTGAGGTATTGTTTATATCTTGTCTATCGTATGTGATAACATCCTCCCTCCTGAAAGCACACAGCAAGACTCCATTGTAGTTTGGCCAAATCTGACTAAAAGAGGGCTTAAAGGGTTGCATCACCTAACAACAGTAATTAGAGCACTTTCACATTTGATAATAACGCGAAGGTGTATTTATTGCATCTAATGAATGAAAAGGAATCTCATTGATGATAATCTTCAAAAACTCATTTTTATTGTTTTCTAAGCCCTTGATAGTTATATACATCTGCTTTTTATACTGTAAATATTGTCCAAATGCCCCATTTTAACAATTGAAGTCTTTATTTCTACAAAACACCATTTTTTCTCCGAATGCCAAAACTTTCTCAGAAAATTGTTAACATCTGATAGTTAACCTCTCTATTTTTGGCACATCACTACATACTGCATACTCATCAAGTAAAGTTAAAGTTAATTGCATGTTTGTATTTTTGCTTTTCTTGTTGTCTAGTAAAGACTAACTAGAAAACAGCAACTCCACGGAGTAGCAAATCCCAAATCTTGAAAAAATTTTCTTAAACAGAGCACCCTTGTCACTAGGTATAAAGATATAAAATCTGTCTACTGGAAAAGTAGATTTACCAAAGATTTTGTTTTTTACAAAAAATGATGGAACACACAAACGCCTGGACACGCGAACAGACAAACAAATGGGCGAAGGAACAGACAGCTGAATGGCTTCTATGTCCCCTCGAATATTGATGGTGGAACAAATATCACTTTCATTAACATTGACAGAACATCCATCTGCCATGTTTTTTCTGTAAACTTGTTAACATCATCCCATAATCCATAATCACAAGTGTATAATAGTAGTTCAGTCACACACTGTATACCAGTAACACAAAGACCAGTCAATAATATCATATCGCATGATGCATAGGTGGGGTATAAAGGCAAAACTGTTGACCGCTAATTAACCAATCAGATGTGAGTATTTCCACTGAGGTACTTACAATAAAACCTGTAAAGTGGAAAACCTCTGTATGTGGAGCACCCACATAAGTGGAACACTTCAAAATCCTACAGCCTATTGATTTATTGTTAAATAGAATTTCTGTAAAAGAAACACCTACCAAGTGGACCACTTTTTAGAGGTATCAAAGGTGTTCCACTTATACAGGTTTTACTGTACCCTTATGTGTCTGATAGTTGCACAAATTAATCCAGTAAAAGAAAATATTATCTGTCCAATTTGAGATACCAAATATTATCTGTCCAATAGGAGATACCAAATATTATCTATCCAATACGAGATACGAAATATTATCTGTCCAATAGGAGATACCAAGTATTATCCTACACTTAGTGTACTAAATGTATAATAACATTAAAAAATAAATTTGATATTTATGGGCAAAATGAATATCCGGAGGATATCGTCACGATATACTCCGGGCAAAGGATATCGTTACGATATACTCCGGAAAACCCAATATGCGGAGGATATTGTGACGATATACTCCGCTTGTTGATTTCCCGCCAAATTGACTCTATTTGGCATGAAATTCATTTTGCAATGATATTATACATTTAGTACACTCCTTGTAAGTGTAGGATAATAAGGACATCCTATGATTTTTTTCAGAATATCATTTTAATCTACTCGGTGATATTGATATATGCACTCGTTCGCTTCGCTCTCTCGTCCAGATATCAATATCACCTCGTAGATAAAAATGATATTCCTCAAAATCATAGGATATCCTATAATTATCTGTCCAATACGAGATACCAAATATTATCTGTCCCATTTGTCCTCTTACAAGAAAAGATATTTCACTTTTTATAAATTGTGACCTAGTAACATTGGGTCTATGGGGAATCTCAATGATCTACAAATTACATTTTCAAAAAAATAAATTTTCGAAATTGATTAACACTTTTTAAAACCACATTTCGTGATGTAACTTTACATATAGATTTCAAATATGATACTACTTCTACTGAATGATGTAAATCAAGAATATTCCATTTGAATAAAAGTAAGGCTTATTAGGTATCAGAACTGACACCATATTTGAAACCAATAACGTTTGCGCAGATCTCAGATCTATAACTTTATTTTACAGGTAACATAAGAAGCAAAACTTACATGTGTGACTCCCAGACTAAATGTTACGAAGTACTCAAATAAAGCTGACAAGTTAGTCTATTTTCTTCTCTCTAACTGTGCTCATCTACGGTAAATGTCTGAAAAATAATGAAGAACTCATAGTTATCCTATTCTATGGTACTTAGAATAAGTACTAGGGGATAGACAGATTATTTTCTGCAGATGGATTAGCTTGGTAGTGGTGAATTGGTCAACGAACATAGATATGATGATGTTTTGACACTCCAACAATGTGAGAGCATACTTTTTGACATGAACTCGGAGATGTTTTGCTGTATTTCTATGAGATTCTTTGAAAATCGATGGGCTGCAATTTGAGAAATTCTAATTTGAACTTTGTCAAATTAAGATGCATCTAAATGGTACAAAAAGTAAGGAGAGTTCTAGTTCTACCTTCAAGAAATTCAAAATGTCTTACACCTGCCCTGGGCGATAATATGTTGGTTTTAGAATTTTTTACCTTTTGTTGCTCCAGTCCAACATGGACACGGGTTTAGTCTATCTAAATCGATTCTGTCAAGTTACAGGCTTGTATTCGTAATAAATATATAGCGAAATTCTTCATGATAACTTGTCTGTGGCGGTAAAAAATTGATTTTAGAGTTTCACTTATTTTTCAAGGTCATCGGACTGGAGCATGATTTTTTCGTTTTCAAATCATCGTATCGATTCAAATCATAATTAACTTCTGAAATCTTCACCCTCCTGTGTTTTAAAATCCTATTGATACACCATTCTTATATTTCAATGATACTTGTCATCTCTAATTGACAATATTTAGATTTGGAAATAACTGTCAACGAATGCTCCCTTTCCTCCCAATGTTATTGTA